CCAGCGCCTGACAGATTCGGAATACTTTTATTCCCGCGACTAAAAACCTATTCCTCCGTTCGGACTGGAAAATTGTCGGGCAAAAACTGAAAAAAAAACACTGTTGAGGAGACATGCTAGCATGCGATAATCCGTGCCAAACAGTGTAATGGGTCGATAGATATCTGGCATGGTTGGGTCATCTGCTTTGAAGTTGCTTTGAAGAAAGATGAAATGATACCATCCAGGCCCCTGGCACCCTATCTAGCTGCTCAATAGCTGTGAAAACGGCAGCCGGCAAGGGTGCACAATTGGTCCACTGGTATATCTCAACCGGTATCCCGTCAGTGCCTGGGGCTTGGCCCAGTGTGTAGCAAGCTACATTTACCTTAGAATATATTAAGCTATTAAAGCTTAGTCACAGTAACAATACGGTCCTGAAATTACGAACCGTACTCGTCAACTGTACGAACTCACTTTCTGTTACGCTATCACAACGTAGCGTACGATCTTCACACTACAGTATGACGGCGGCAGGTGGGCCGCATACAAGCCACCCGGGTGAAGTGCTTCGGCCACACACTTTCGTATCACTATACAAGTTCTCAGTGTTCAACACCCTGCTTTCAAACCCTAACTCCTCGTATCGCTTCTCGCTTCTCTCGCTGAGTTGCCCTTCCTGGTCGAGACCTTCCCCTTTCGCAACTTCGCGACCAAACACTTCCGCTCTGATGCCTAAGGTAAGGGGACGGTTGCTACACGGTACCTCTGCCCGTTCGGTGGCATGCACTTCCTCAACTGTGACGACCTCTGTCCCGACCATCGCTGCGTCTTCAGAGGAGCAGGTCCGGCTCCGCGCACACAGCACGTGGGGACATGCGGCCGGGCATCTGGGTCGATAGTGGACTGTGCTCCTATTTGTTGCCAGTAATCCGCCACAATATCAGGAAGCTGTTGCAAATTGCTACACAACGTACCATTAGGTCATCAGAAGGCGGGAATTCTGAGGGTCATGGAGGGTGGCCGGGGCTGGTAGGTTAGGGCCAGGCTGGGGTGTCCATCCGTACATATCCATTCATGACGGGTGTGTGGTGCGACGCTAGCCACAGCATCGACCTGTGTCGTTCGAGCAAGAACTGTGCATGGAAGAGCCAAAACATACCCCTCCTCCGCTTCTGCAAGAATGCTATCGGTCTGGGCCTGTACAGCGGCCTCTTCCGCTGCCCCAGTTACCTGACATCAGCCTGCCTGTTGGTTTAGGAAGGCGGCGGACAGAGCCAGCGCCTGCTTGAAGCCTGGCCACCAATTTGCGAGGCCCTCTGGGTCCGTGGGGAGCGATTCTGCCGTGCAATTTACCCAATTGTCTAGGGCCGCGCAGAGATCATCGTGACCTAGGAAGTGCAGCCTGGTACGGGGCAGGCCTAATCCTGGAATAGGCGCGCCGTAAGCTGCAGGGAGGGCAGCGTGGGTGATGCGGCGGTTCACCGGGGTCCTTGAGGATGTGTCGCTGACGTCGATCGCCGCCTCCAGGGCATGAGACACCACGATACAATCAATACAGGAGGTCCCCGCTGGATGGGCACACGTGTATGCACGCCGGCTGGGGTGGACTAGGCGGAACATGTCGCAATTATTCTGGACACGCGCACTAGAAAACCGCCGTGGTTTGACATCATTCGTCCGCGCCGACCAGCGTGGACACATCCAAGTTGGGATTATTGACAGAATTATAGTCCGCGAATAGGTATGGCTTAGCTTTGGTTAATACGACTTTGTGCCGTGCAAGGCTTGCAAGACTATTTAGGATATCCCGGCTCTATTACCCGTAAGCTTAGTATTCTTATCCTTCGTTGTCTCTCAGATAACGGGCGATGTCGGGCCTTGCAGACCGGGCAAGTTAGGAACTAATGCTTCCTCCAGTCGCGAACTGGAGCCGGTCCCTTTAATAGGAATTCAGTTATTCCAGTATGTTCCCGACCCTTGGTTTTTAACCGACAGTCATTTTTCATTATGTTCGACTGTGAGTGTATTCGGCCTCTCGTAGGCGCCGTGTAACCTCGTCCATGCAGAGACCCTAGGATAACGATGGAGTTTTGCTTGGCCCTTGTACTCTCGGCTGCGACCGTCTTACTGTTAGTAGCAGCTGAGGAGCCATTTGCTTCAAACACGTTATCGGAGTCAGTAAATATTTCGCGCATATCACCACGATCGTTTCCATCAGATGTTTGGCGACCTTTATTATTGACAACATGCTTTCCCAGCCTACACCATGAGTCCGCACCATGCCGTCGTGTCCCCAACCTGGTTTATGGGGAGGAACTGCTATACCAAGACTTTCGTATACGACTTCCTCATTTCGTTAACGCTGAACAGAAGCGGATATACCTGAAGGTCTTGCACCACTACCGTCACATTTGGCTTAGGGGGCGCGTGATAGGTGACTACGCCTACTTCCTCAACCAGCGTGGTCAAAATCTTATATACTCCAACGTGATGTACGTGGGAAAGCCAGTGCCTGGAATGTGGGCTGAAGACGCTTGCATGTCGTACAGCGCAGACAAACACGTCAGCGCCTTCCCACCTTGGAAAGGCAGCGATACAGCACCCGCCGCTATCTTCGTGGCATCGCCCGATGATTACTCTTTCCAGCACTTTACCGACAGAGTAGCTATGATGCTAGCGCAAACCCGTCACTTGTCCACCAGAGTTGCTGGAGGCTGGAAATACATCGTCACTGGGCCTTATCGGGTGCCGGCTGTTAGCCAGCTCTGGCCCATGCTGGTGCCTGGGTTTACACCCGAATCATTGATACATGCGAGGGGGAAACCTGAAATCCAGACGCGCTTGCTGGTTTACCCCTGCCAGACGCCGCTTATCCATCCGTACACCCACCAACTGGCATCGGAGGTGATCCAACAGGCGGCAGGGTATGACCCACGGGTCATAGAGCCCGTCGGTTCGCGGCCTGTGATCCTCTTCTTCGCAAGGCGGGGCAGCCGCGCCTGGCATAACGAGAACGAATGCAGGTAATGAGGAGGAAGAGGGCAAAGTCGGCGCAGCGCCTATCACTGGCACGGAAACTCGCGAACCATATGCTGCAGTTGCGGTTTTTTGTGATTGCGTCTGCATGCCCGGGCATAGCGCGGATGAGCCTGTTGAGCGGCAGTGAAAGGGATGAAATGATTGACGTTTGAAAGTTTTGGCATGGCTCATCCAACGTGTGGGCTGCTCTTGCTGTTGTGTTAAGCCAACGCGTTGCCCGTGTTGTCCTTCAAGCACGTGTCGCGGGTTTACAATGCACTAGAGTCATTTTTTTGGCAAAGCCAGTATCGTGGTTACAACCAATGCTCGTAAGGACAACACGGATGTCGACGCTCCGTAAATCATAGCTTCACAGTCGCCTTGATGGCTGCAAATCCTCAATTTTGCTCCTCTTTTAATTGAATGCTGTTGCTGCTGCTGCCGTCATTCCATTCTGTCACGTGCGCTATTCACCATTCACACCGCCACAAACAATGCCCGTTCCATCACCTGTGATCCCCGTCCCCTGCATCACTTCCCATTGCACCTAATAATCGCAGGTTGGCCATCGAGCAGCTCATCGCCGGAAGAAACCGTAACGAACAGCTGGTCACCTTTCAGGCGGATGCCTATCCCAATGCCCGTGACGTTGTGAAATTGGGCCGTCGCGTAAAGCTCATGGTGGGCGTTCACGGTGGCGCTTTTTACAACTTGGTATATATGCAGCCGGGGACAGGCATAGTGGAAGTCTGCCCCGTGGCGCCCGACGGGAAGTCGTCGCGCTGCGGCGCCATGTTTTGGGAGATGTCCAATGTACGAAACATGCCGTACTGGAGCGTTGTCGCTACCAACGTGACGCACGATTGGCAAATACTGACCATGGACTGCAACTTAGTCGTATCTGCCGTACGGAACGCGTTGGAGAACATCGAGAACATTCCAAGCCCTCTGGAGGCATTTCATCAGGGCACTAAGTTCGGTTGAATGAGGATCGAAATGTGATTTGATAAATTTATGAGGCCAGGGCTCAAAAATGCCTTGCTCGGCAACACGTGGTCGTGGCATTGCATTACGCCCTTGATAGGCCAGGCAGTCTCGCAAATCCACACGCGCCCCATTGTGATTGGCATGCTGGTGGAAGTGGCCACGACCAGCGTGTTAAGGTTCGATAAACGCATTTAGGTCCGCTTGAAAGAGCTGTAATAATAGCGTGCGAATCGCTCAGTCAAGCTTGGGTGCACGCGTTGGATGGCTTATTAGTGGAACTTGCTCTGTGTACTGTCAAGCTTCTTGTTCACTGTTTTACGGGTACGAGCGAAACTGACCGACGGCTCGGTCGCGCGTGTAGCCAGACTTCGGACGGTGAGGGGGAGAGAGAGAGAGAGAGAGAGACGGTGACTTTGGGGCCTGCTCCTCGCGTCATATGCGGTGATGCCGGAGTTTCACTGTTTTTGGTCCGTACAGCAGTAAATATGGCAGATTGCAAAGGACTCAATCCGCATGCGTGAATCCTACTACCGACACCTGGCTTCGCACTGCGACCGTCCACGAAAGCGGTGATGGAAAGGGATACGTCTGCACGAACGGGGTTGAGGTGTGTGCGGCCATGCGAATAATGAAAAATAGGGGATTGGGTTGGATGGGTTGTCTGAAAGGTACCAAGGGAAGGGTAAAGCACGAGTTGTATGTGATAACACGGCGATTCTCATCATCCATTTCCTCGGGCGGAAGGAACGTGTTTCCCGCGAGGGTGTTAACTGCGTTGGAAGGGATACTGCGTCCTTGGCTACAACTTCAGATGCTGCGTTCGTCAGTCGGCAGTGACATCGCAGCTTAGACGTCAGTTGCCTACGTGGCAATACTTACGTCGACCAGCAAACGACAATGAGAAGGGGCAATGAGTATCAAGCCGAAATCCCCATGAACGTCAAAGGTATCTTGTGTGATTTCTGCCTCTCCTGTCAATCCCATTTGGATGTGGGGTGATGAAAGTTGAGTCCGTATGCACATATATGTGCAAATACTAAAAATGTGCATACATAATATGGAGTATATACTCCATATTATGATCCCTTCTGGATGTCTCCACTTCATATGGCCGGAGCCCTCTTGTTTCCCAGTCATCATCACTCAGGAGTGGCAACCGAGGGGGTGAAGCACTCCCTAAGTCCCACAGAGACCCCCAAATGTCAGAACAAAAATGTCGTCAGAGCGTCACGGCTATGGTTTCTCCCCGGCCGGGCGCGCGAGTGCACTACAGCTCGTCTAATCCTGATTTGCGGGTAATGTATTTCGCAATCCGTTACTACTTCTGCTTACGGATCTCTTGTGATCCGCGCAACGTAGTCCCAGCGGTAGCCCACATGGGTCTGGTACCGGTAGGCGCCTTCAGCGTATTTTATACGGAAAGAAGTAATCTTAGAAAAGCAAAACCTTGTTCCCTCACAGGCAGAGCCGTTTCCAAACGATGATTGGGGGCTCTTAGGCGGTTAAGACGTCGCTCCGTAACCGCCAGAAAACGAGCACGTCGCACCTACGTAAGCCATTGGCTTAGCAGCAGTCTGTTTCTACTGCTGCGTTGTGAATGAACTCCATCCCCTGAAGAGCCCTCCTAGCCCTCCTATAATAGCCCTCCTAGCCCTCCTATAATAAGTCCCCATCGGTACGTGGTACGGCACAGGTAGACGGAGCCGTTCAGTGGTACGGCACAGGTTGACGGAGCCGCTCAGTGGTACGGCACAGGTAGACGGAGCCGTTTTCAGTGGTACGGCACAGGTCGACGGAGCCGTTTTCAGTGGTACGGCACAGGTTGACGGAGCCGTTTTCAGTGGAACGGCACAGGTCGACGGAGCCGTTTTCAGTGGTACGGCACAGGTCGACGGAGCCGTTTTCAGTGGTACGGCACAGATAAACGAAGCCGCAGTTACAGATCCCCTAGCACCCAAGCTAATAGCCCTCCCGCAGTTCTCAGCCGGCCTAACGAGCGGAGGCACGGACGGAGTAATTGTGTTCCGACGATTTTCATGCGGTCTTGTACGAGGCGAAAAAGAAGGACAAACAGCTGCGACAATGACCAGCAAAACGTCACCGCTTTGTCGTAGTCTTCTCTGCTACCCTAGGGAAATCGACGAGAGGAGGAAGCGATTGGAGCTTTGGAAGGACAGGGGCTGAGAATGCACCCTCGCGCCGTTTCCCGTGCGTACAGATTCCGGGTGGAAGTGACAACCATTAGGTTGGACAGAGCCCTTGCTTGAGATGACGCGATAAATCATGTATTTCCGGCGTTTTTTACAAGTTGCGTAAAAGAATTGCAACGAAATAAACAAAAGGAGCAAACGAAACACAAAACCATGTATGCTTTCAAGACCTGCATGCGATGCAAAAGCACTGTACAGATGAAACTTATTTGACTTTGAATCACGGACGCTCAATTGCACTGACAGCAATCAAAGTCCCTTGGGGAACTACCTTCCGTGTGCTCGCCCAAGAACAATCGTGATAACGGAACGAGCCAGGTATAGTTCAAGGCTTTCAGCAATACATCTCCAAAGCATTCCGTCCCCGTTTTTCAACAGCAGCTATAGACTTTTGACGACTCCTTTGCAAACAAATGCCTCGTTCAAAAAAATAAAAGTCAGGGGCCCAAGGCACAGCGAACACATCACGGCAGGCCGTACAACTGAAAAACAATTTTACCCAACAACTTCAAATTACTCACAAACATTAATCCGCCGGCAGGCGGCTACACGGCAAACAGTTGGCCGGTCGTAAATACAGCACTTAGGATTGCGCACCGTTACGTGTGGAATCTTTTCAAAGGCAGCCAAATAGTGAAAAGACACCCAACTACCAACAATTGACCACAACTTTAAATAACCAAACACGCAAACAAACTGCGTGTGCTCCGAGACCACGCATTCCATCTTTGTTGCTCGATCTACATGTTCAGCTCCCTCCGAGATGTGTCGTACTCCCGGAGGGTTCACCGCTGAAAGTTGGCGTTGGGGAGAAGCGTTGCAGCAGCCCATGAAAACACCTCTCCAGGGGGCTCCAAGGCGGCCCCAACGATGCATGTAAAGCAAATGCAAAAGCCGGCGACGGAGGAAGAACAGGCGAAGCGTGCAACAGGATGGTACCTCCAAGCTAGACTACATGAAAGGCCCCACCGGACGACCATGTTCTCTGCATTACTAGACGGCGATGCCGACTTTACCACATGCCCAGATGGAGCCACATAGCACAAATGCGACCTTAAGATTGAGGAGGCCTACATCAACCGAGCACCATTAAAGATGTAAGATGTGACAAGCAGTGCATGACCAGCAACATCAATCCCTGTGAACATACCGACACCAAGCCATTTTTTCACAGGTCGTCCTTGACGCTATGCAAAGCATAGGTCGGTCTTTCCTAATAAATATTTTTCGTTTCCCAGTGGTAAAATCTCGCTCTGGCAACACAACGGGCTGCTGCGCTCACACTCAAGCCAGCAGACTCGTCCTGAGATTGCAATGACCGGCGGGCCATTTCATCGACACACTTGCTGCATCTTCCTCAGGCGGCGCCCAAACGCCCAACGGCCTCTTGCGGCCGCCAGGACATTGACCTTCAGACAATTTGGAGGCGGTGAAGGCGCCGCCCTGCTGCTGCCGGAAAGGCTTGTATGTGCCGTAAGAGCAGCACGGGGCGCCATACATCAACATCGCACTTGCCAATACAACCAACAAAACTACCACCCAACGTAAACTCAGCGCATTCTCCCTTAACCACCCTGAAATGGTCTTAGCATCGCCAACACATATACACGCACAACAATAACAACCTTAGCAACAACTGTCCACGGAAGCAAAAAGCTGCAATAGCTACGACAGCACACACGGAAAGCATGCGCAGAAGGACGCAGCAGCAAGAGCAGCAGCAGCAGCAATAGGCCATAGATTGCACAGCTTATGTACATCAGAAGGATAGCTGGCACTACAAAGCTACACAAACCTTCTCCGGAATTACGTCAAGCCTACTACCACCTTTTTATCGCATGCCGTACTGCTTGCAGCCAGTCAGCAGCCCGCCATGTCTGTCGTACTCCATGCGCTACATCCAGCAACTCTTTCCCCCCCGGGCCCGTACAGCTCCACGCTCACATCTCTCCCCCCATCTCTGACATTTGATACGCACGTCCCATCGTCCATTGGGAAACGTACGGCATGCAGCAGCACGGCAACGCGTTGCAAGGCATTTGTTTTTTGTAATGGTACTATGCCGTATGAAGTTTATCCCAATTGACAATCTTCGGCGCATCACAACACAACAGCCTCAGGGCAGAGGAGGGAACGAAAAAGCAACCGTGCCGTAAGCAAAATAGCGGTCGTATTAACACTGGCGTGTTAAAACGTGCTTGCGGCGCATCTTCTGCACCCACGAACCGATTTAACACCTAGACAATTCCTCCGAGCAGAGACATCCTGTGCGGATGCTGCTTAGGTAATTTTTTTGTGTTGTTGACTGATGATTCCGGATTGCGCCATGTGGGGCATGGCGGTAACTAGTTGACGGAAGAACCGGGCCTCATAAACACACGTGGGGCCGACAGACAGACAGACCGACAGACAAGCAAAATATGGGAACAGGTGCCATAGTCGCCATTTCAAAATCCAACGCACGTGTCCTGAACTCTCAAAGCGCGCAAAGCGCACAAAACAAGCTACTAAGTCATAAACAAAATCGCGAGATACACACTTACACTTACACTTACAGAGTTCACCAAATTGCCAGATGCAGATTAATCCGAATTTGAACATACAAAATGGGCGTACATCTAGAGCAACACAACCGAGGATAGGGCTTGTTTTGGAAACGATGTCGCCTTCTTTAGGAAGCCTATCACAAGCAACTATAAAACCCCCAGCTGATAACATACATACATACACACGCACACACGAAGAGGACTACGCGCCGCCCATCGCCGTATCAAAGTTCACAATTACTAGGCTAAATCAAATTCACGCCGACCGCCAACCCTGCAGCAAACAACTCGCTCAAAACTGCCGCCGGGGAGACGGCCCCGCTGCCCTCCGGCAGCTTGCTGCTGCCAATGCGGTTGGTACGACGCTCAAGCCCGTTGCAAAAGCGCACAATTAAACGAAAATCGATATAGGTCGGCCGCCATCTCAACGCAAAAAAGATCAGCTGCCGTGCAAACCGATAACCGACGGATAAGCGGATCTCGGTAGCTAAAAGAAAACTCCCACACTAGAAGCATTCTCTTTTCCAACTCAATGGCAATTCAGGCAGGATGTTAGCTCGCGGTAACGACAACGACATAGCCACCATACCATCACTCTCCTGAAACAACACCGTCTCTGAAAGCAACTGACATTATGGTTATGCATGTAACATAGCACGCCTGGCATTAGCAGCGGTTGCGTCCTTCAACCGCAACCAGTCGACCTGGTCGGCCGCACTTGCCCCTCATGCCTGATTAACGGGTAATGATACAGCTAGTACGACGTGTGAATCTAGCGAAGCATGCAATACAGCTGGGAGATGCAGATGGACATGACGTACATATCGTACCACCCAACGACTTACATACCTTACATACGACCTACATACCTTCACTTCATCAAATTTAGGAGATATTAAATTCACACAAACACAAGTGGGGAGTTTCATCGAACTCCGTGTCGATTCAAATGTGGAGAATGAACAACCAACAGAACCAACCGCCAACTTCCTCATACCGGCGTATCTCTTACCTCGTCTCTCAATCACACACACCCGCGCTAATCCATTACGATAGATCCATCCTTCCTTCTGGACCTACCTTAAGCAGAGCTGTACTCTTCCCCACTCGCAACGGACCCGGCAAGCTGCCGGACAGCTGACTGCTCAGCCGCGCTTGTAGATAGCGACGTGGTGACGTACAATGACAGTTGCCCTTGCAGGGAAAAAGGGGCTCAGGGATAGATACACCCACTACGCACAACCACCACACATAAGCAGACACGCAGGCGCACAACTGCTCATCAAAACCAAACCACTTCTGCTCAAATAGATTACCATACATATGAACATACATACGTGCATACATCAACCTGATGACGCACCTACCAAGGTGCCCTTACCCACCAGACAACCAACCCATAAACATGCGCATGCCGGAGGTGACCTCACTGCCCTTCTTCTCATCAACCGCAGCGTAAGTCATGAAGGACCACAAAATTCGAAATACAAATTACTCTTCTCTGTAAAGGCAGGCTAAGGATGTCCTCCGCATACAAGGTGGTACGGCAGATCCTACGGCAGATCTGGCCAAACAAGTGATAAATCCCACCCCGCTTTACCCTTTCAGAGATGACAAGACATGCCGCTTGTCGTACATACGCCGTACATCGCCACTCACTCCGGCGACCAAGGAGTTGCAGCAGCAAACTGCAACAGAACGTATGCGAGGTTCTGTTACGTTTTTGCTCTTCTTGCGGCCGAAAAGCATGACGGCTTTTTAGCCATAGCGGCTTCAACCTTTCATTCATTATAAGGATACACTTCACCAGCTTTCCAAGTATTTCCGCGCAACCCAGCTACAAGCCGTTCCAGCGCTCACTATAAAATTTTAAAACTATATCTCACTGTAATGTCTTTCGGACAATTTTATATCAAAACATCATTCATACGTTTTCCACGCGACGACGGCAACGCAGCTACCACACCAGCGACCTAGCGAAATACACCCAGCGAATTTATCAACAGTGTCGAGCTCGAAACGCAGATTGCCCTCGCCCTCATTTCCCTCGGCACCAAAAAATTTCACCACCACGCGCAAATTGACGCTCCTCGCAGTCCCTTTCCAGGGCGCTCCACTTGGGCAAGGGCACACCAGGGTGTTGCCCTCCGTACGGCGCTTTCAGCACCCTTTGCTCCGAAACCTCTCCTCCTCTTCTGCACCCCTCGTTCTCTGCAACAAGCGCACACCATCATCCTGTACGTCAACCCACAAACAAACAGCACTGCACAGTGCTGACAACCCATTGCTCATCACCACCATCACCATTATCAGAAGTATAAAACATCTCAACTCCTCCTCGCCCTGGGCAGCAAAAAAGGGGTTCAAGAGCAAAAAAATTAAATCCTGGACAGTCGTACGTCATAGATTACGACTTAAGCCACATACAGCGGCGATACGACAGCACTTAGAGAAACTGCCGCTTCATCGCAAGAGCCCACAAGGTCTCTAGAGAGTACATGCGCGGAATGCGATAAGGGCCAGACAGCCATGGTAACGGTGGTGATGGCGGCGGCGATGGCGGCGGCCGCGGCGGCGACGGTGACGGTGACGGAGGGAAGAGCAGGGAAGACGAAGGCAGCTGGGAGCAAAGGCAGAGCTCAGAACGTGGCGATTAACGCGGTCTATAGATACGAACGATATCAAACGCGAAGAGGTCACCCGCAGCCCAGAACAGAGGGCATCCACGGGGAATATCTCGTCCAGAGCAGGTCGTTGAAATGCAGTTAGGCGGTTGGGAAGCAGTTGAACATAGTTTAACAGAAGTGATCGAAATGGGATACGAAATACGCGAGTCGTGGCAGCGATGGTGCGATTGTAGCATAATGATGATGATACGGGTGACGATTCTGCTGCTGCTGCTGCTGCTGCTGTTGCGGCTCTTGCTGTTGTTGCTGCTGCTGGCTGGCGAAGTGACGACAACGTTATGCGACAAAGCCTGCGGAGCTCGTATCAGCGCCAAGCTCATCTTGCATCTCCTTTTCGCTGCAGGTGCCGTACAGCCGTACGATCCGCAGATCCAAACCGCATCGACCGCTGCCCCAGACTCCGCCACCACCGTCGGCTCCACTAGCAATGCCGTACACAAAGCCGTACATCTTGAAAGACACGTACTAAGCTGATGTACACCGTCGTCGCCCGCTTATAAGGAAGGCGCTCGCTGAGGGGCATGCTGCTTGCGGCGGCTAGACACCGCCATGGGCGCAGAGGCTGCACGGCCGAGATCTGCGACGGCGGTGGCGGCGGCAGCGGCGACAACGACGCCTTCACCGCCGGCGGCTGGCGTTGCCAGTTCAACACTGCCGAAGAAGCTGGGCAAGGCAGCAGAGCTCGGAGCTGGCGGGGGAGCTGGCGCGGCAGGCAGCACTGCGGCAGCAGTCGTCCTTGCGCCGTGGAAGGGCAGCAGCAGCGTCGCCGCAGCGGTGGCGGCAGCCTCCGCGTCAGCGACGCCGCCGTCATCGTCAATAGAGCCGCCGCCGCCGCCGCCGCCGCCGCCGCCGCCGCCGCCGCGAGGGACAGCAGGCAGCGGCTGACAGTGCGGAGAGGCGAAGCAGACGTTGCTGTTGCTGGACCTGCGGGTGATATGGGTGGTCCGCCGCCGCCTGTGCACAACAACACACCCGAACGAGGCCGGCGAAACAGTCGTTTATTGGGAAGAACCATGGCCAACCTGGTGTTGTGGAAAGCTGCATTACGGCGACCAGGTGTCTTTTCCTTGTAAGGTTAAGGTAAAACATAAGCCTTCTTTGCGATAACAAACATTCCGAACACATCCTTCAGCACGCCGCCGTGTGAGGATTAAAGTCCAAGGATCTAGTTTTTTTAATTTCCAGTTCATAAAGCTTTTCCCTCGCGTGCTGGCAGGTTCACGTCACGGCACTAGCCGTGCGTGATGATCAATGCCGTCATCGCTGCCAGTGCCGTCATCACTTACTTTGGCGGGTTCTCAAAGTTGAAGTCATAACCATACTCTTCATCCTCCCTTGAGCTTGCACTGCCGTACGACGACGAATCGCGATCCGGCGCCGGTGCCGGCCGGCGCCTGGCGGCAAATGTTGCCGCGCTTGCCGCCACGGCCATCATAGAACCCCGTACGGCAGCAGGGCTCGTACCACCGCCGCCGCCGCCACCACAACCGCCGCCGCCATATACGAATGTCTCCTCGCCCAAATCGGAGCTTTCCGGTTCGCTGCTCAGAGCAGCGCAGCTGGCGTCAGCGACGGCGACGTCGGGGGAAACAGGCGGCGCCGCCGCAGCCGCTACCGCCGCTGTCGCCGCCGCGGTCGGGCGAAGGACAGCGCCCGCGCCGTCGCCGCGCACTGGTGTGGACGCGATAACTGCCTTCGGACGGGGACTGAAGCTCGCGGCAGCGGGGCCCCGGCCGTCGCCGCCGCCTAGGATGCGATCTAGGCCCACATGTCGAATTGAGCGGGCGTTCGGGGATGACGGCAGCCGAGGGGTAGCGATGGGAGCGGCGGCTGAAGCGTCTGCGGCGGCGGCTGTGCCGCAGCCGACATTTGAAGTCTCGCCCTTGGTAAGCGCCTCAACCTGCAGCATACAATCCGTACGGAACGTCAAAATCCATACCGCATTTAGGATCGCAGAGCGAAGGTACCTGTAGAAATTACATACATGTCAAACTAACAGGCCATTCAAGTGTACGACGATCGTACTGTGCCGTACCTTGCAGGCAAGGGAGCAGTAGCTGTACCCCTCCCGCAGCTGGCGGTGGCAGGTACGGCAGATGTCGACGCCGTTGGCTCGGCCAATCTTGGAGTGCGGTCGATGGTTCAGGAACATCACTTTGGCGCTGTTGATGATGTAATTCTGTTGAGCGGTTGATAAGTTTCGACCAGGGGAGGTGGCAGCGGTGGACCCGGACAATTCACGAGCAGTTCAGAACAGCATGACAGTAACAGTTTGCGAATGTCACGGAGGCAGGAGCATTGCTGGTGGTAAGGAAGGAAGTATTGGGTGGCATGCTCATGCGCAGGATGTGACTGAAGCAAATACGCATAAGTAGCCGAAAAATATGGCTGGTAGAGCAACCAAAGACGACAGAAATATGCAAAGCTGCAACGTAAGCCCACGCAAACTAGGCGCGCGGTGAAACGGCGCTGTTCGGGACGCATCTAACACCTAGCCGATAGCAACTCAGGTAGAAGGGATGTGTTTTATCATTCCTAATGCCGCATGTTTATCCGGAACGAAACTATTCGCGTTAGAAAATTGTCCCTGGGGTTCCATGCAAAGGCACACCAACATACGGCAAGACTGCATTCGGTACAGTACCACAGAACTTAGCTCACACACCTGGACACCGGAGGCATCGACGAAGTTGCTGATATCGCAAGCTCGCACCACATCGCAGTACACGTAGCGGCGGACCTGAGGGGCAAATGTCGCGGGATGGAGGCATCGGAAAGACATCAAGAGTGTTTTCATGGGTAAGCACATGGTGATATCTTAGATATGACAACTATGATACGAAGACGGCTTCGGTCGCGGCTTGAGCTGTAGCGCTTATCCGTGGTCCGTAATGTTGCAAGTAAATGGGAACTCTACCGAAGAAGTGACCGCCACGTGCACAGTGAACTTCCTACAATCTGCAACTTAAAAACTCAGGCTTATCTACAGACTGCAACATGCAAGTGCGCCGTGTAAGCTTTACATGACTGTAAGCTTGCACACATATCTCGTTTTGACAAATGCTCAACCAGCTCTAAACGCAGTAGCTAAAATTCATTGCTAAGAATACTCAGTTTGCAAACAAAACGTGCCAATAGCTAAAACGTAAGCAGTAGATATGCGGCCCTTTGCGAAACCCTGATATCTTCAGGAATGGAACGAACGGTGCTCCCCATACCTGGATAACTTGGTGCCCAGCATGCGCTCCCATGCAGTGCTGGCACACGCTGTGTGGCCTTGTGCCACAGGTGATGCAGAAGAACGTGCACTGCAAGTTCATAGGCAAGCAACATACGTTGGACTTGAAGCGCAGAATAACGACCCAATTTTAAATAGCTTATTAGGAAATAGCAGCAGATATTCTTGAAATTGGATGTCGCAACGCAAAATGTCGGAATTGAGGATATGTCTTCGTGCTCGTTACCGGGCCAGGTTAACAGACCGACCTCGTTCTTCTTGTGGTGGCGGTGCCGCTCGCAGGGTTGAAAATAGGTTGCGGCTAGGAAAGCGGGAATCCACGGTGCGCAGACCACTGCTGAGTTCCTGGATATCCCTCGGCACGCGCTCGATGTCCCTCCCAACGAGCGAGAGCCACAATTCGCCACCTTCGAGGGTTGGCTAGGCCCATCATAGTGTTCATCACTGCAAACAACGGAAATTCGAGCGCGGAATTAGAGCGTTCCGATTGCAAAGATATACTCTGCATCCAGAACAGTGGCGCTTCACCTGCTCCGCTCGTCAGAAGGCTCCATATCATAATTATATTGGCAGTATTGTCCAAGCCCGACCTAATTATGGGACATACAACCAAGGGACAAGACTCTCAGTTCACCAGCGAAAAGCGCGCGCTCGCAGCTCTAACCGTTACAGAGGGCGCAATGCACATAATTGAAGAAATTCTAGGGCTGACCTGAAACGGCGACACAAGCGCGCTCTGCGCGACTTCGGTAGAGCGAAGCATTCCTCAAGGGCCACGTTAGGTGTTGCAAAGCTGTCGCGCACCCCACAATAAGGACTACAAATCTTGTGAAGCTACCTATGCGCAGAGCGACTCAAGTATGTGTGAGCGGCAGCGTTTAAGAGCTTCGGTCAACGGCCTCCTGTCCACCGTCCGTACGCATAGATTTCCTAATGTTACGCCTAGCCTGATCCTTAAGCTGGAATTCAATAGAGCATACAATTCCAATTGTCAATTGAGGGTGGCAACCGTAGGATTGGGGTCCAATGGCTTTATAGCGATGTACAGCAAATCTCGGCAGCCAAAATATCTCAGCACGGGCGTGACCCGGGGGTCAAGCGTAATCTTCTACAGCGCAATCTCAATTGCAAATCAGACCATAATTAATTTATGTTACCAGTATTTGTGGTATGTTACATCACGGCAGAAACGCCCTGGCGTTTAGGAGATGATCGACCATAATATGCTCCTTTAGAGGCAGATGCTAGTGTGGCATGGATTAATTCCCAGAAAGTTTAACTAGGAAGTGATGAGTGACGTGCATTTGATATAATTTCTGGAGATTGTTTGTGACCAGCCATGGAAATCAGAGTTCTCCAAGTGACCCAATTCGTTTGCACATTTATTGCGTCATTTTTTTAAAAGATTGTGCTGTGGCATAAAAGGATTGCAGATGCAACCGGCGTTGCGTTTCGGGGTGGGAGCTTCTTTTGAACGCCTCCACGTGCTTCTCCCCAAGTTTCTTTTGTAGAAGAATGTAAGGTTTTTATAAAGCACGTGCTACTAACGCGAGAAGCCCCCGTGGAAAAGCCCGCCTCGAAGGCGTTTCCATAGCCCGCCTTGCTAGGCTGGGCGAATTCAGAGAAGTTTGGAGTCATAGTTACACCAATTACTCTCAATTTTGCAATGCAAATTTTTTTATCCTCCTTCAAGGCAATGCGACTAGTCCCTACAAGCTTCCGTGCTATGGTGCAGACTTGACACAGCATCTTCAACTTTGCTCTTTGCGCAGCTTTGTGTGACCTGCGCGCTCATCCTTATGCTGCCTTCACGACCCACGGGGCCCGCGGCGTGCGCTTGTCGACGGACGCCTCGGGGTAGGCCGTCGGACGAATGCAACCGCCGCCGCCATCAACCCCCCTTAGACAACGCAACCACGGGTTCGACACGTGCCGGCGGCAGCCACTGCGCGCTCCCAACTACAAGGCGGGATACTTCCATTCGCTTCATGCCGATAAAGACCATACCATTTTAGCCATTTGCAAGGTTGTCAGTGTACGAAGGGGAAAAAGGGGATTTTTCTCGGATACATCGCCGACTCATCATACATCCAACGACCAGAAGGCGCCAGGAGAGGGGACGCAGGTCTCCACAGGAAAATTCCAGCAGGCGCTGCACACTACTTCCCCATAACATAGAAAAAGAAAGCCCCGAAAAAGGGCCCAGCCTGGATTACGGAGAGATTCCCTCTGGGGGAATATTCTAGAACCCCCTCCCCTCGGATTCCAACATTCCTCCGGGCATTCCCGGATTCCAACCACGGGCACATGCCCATGCGGTCCATGTTACCAGGGTGTTGACAAGCCACTAATGGAGCACTGTTACAAAACCTTACATACAGCCCCATGCCGCTCGTTCGGGACACTCTGACCCAGCTCACCAGAGCGTACCCGACTACGTCAATGTAATTATCCTCCTCACAACACCCTCTCATCTGTATGGACCGTGTGCGTGAGATCTCCAACATCGTCTTATCACAGCCTCTCCGCCCCTCACCTCTTTCAACTACATATGTGTTATGCTCCGGCGGCAAAACAGTGGCGCCAGCACGCAGTTTGGCGAATAACACATCGACTACGCATCCACGGCTGTGGGAAGGGGGGCCCTCCGGCAGCTTGAAGTAGCTGACAGGCCCGCCTAAACCCAAATCTATCATTTAAAATTACCGTATGTTATGTAAACATGTTACCGCAACAAAGCAGGCGATATCCACACGCGCGACCAACTCTATCGTCTATTGTTTTGGGTCAGTTCGTCCGTACCTCCCATCGTCATCGAACCATCACACCACACCAGGTTTCCGCCTTCGCGACTTGACCTTGCTTGCGGAAACATTTACATAGGCGACGCATGGTGCTGCTTCGTCCTGTACGACCACATTACGGTCGTCGTACACAGCCGCGGTGGAGTGAGGGCGTTTGATGCACACTTAATACTCTCGATGAGGCGACGAGGCCGTCACTCTCCAAGTGTTTTAAGCAGTCTCATACCCCCATGGGCCGCGTTGTTGTGAAACCCGCCGGGTACGTCGTTATCCACACCTGCCTGTCTATGGTTCTATGTATATGCACAATAATACGCGGCGCTTGACGTGAAATGTATATTATATTCTACCTCCTCGTCACAAAAACAAAATGGAAGCGAGTCGTTTCCTTTCCTAAGCTACAACCAGGATAAAGAAAAGAAAATGAACACCATTACTGTTTTGGCCGAGAGCACATACTACTGCTTTGCGCAGCCTAGCACATTAGTCCCAATGGCAAGCGCCGCTGTTGCCGCCTCCGCTATTGCCACCACTGCTAGCAGGCACCTCCGTTGCTGCTGTTATTGCTGCTGCTGTTGTTGCTGCTGCAGCCGCCACGGCGGCTGCCGTTTCCTTCCTCCCCTCCCTTCCTTCCGTTCCAAACTCCCCTCCGTCCCTTCCTCCCCTCCCCTCCCAGCTGCACGACGCGACCCGCCCCCAACTCGACGGCCGCTTCCATGAGCACCACGTCCATACCTCATCCGCTCGGTCTTCCCCAGTGGGCCGGGGGCGGTCCGCGTGCGGTGTAATGCGGCGGGAGGCTTAACCAACCCCTCCCCCACCTGCGCTCCACACCTGCAACGCCCTGCTCCGCATCGCCAGCATCCCAGCAACGGCCGTCGCTTGGCTGCGGCTGCGGTGACAGCGGCCGCCGCCGCGGACTCTACTGCTGGGAAGGTGCTCCTCCTTTGGTCTGCCTCTTCCCTACGCCCAAGCTTCACGCCGGCCCCAGCGGCACAGCTTCGCCCTCGTCCTCCTCCTTGTCCTGTCCGGGCTCAAAATCGTCCAGCATCCGCACGGCTTCTAAGTCTTCACGTCTGGCTCGGATGCGAGGTTTGGACGTCTTGGCGGCTCCCATACGCATGATGGCCGCCATGGCCTCGCCACCCTCGTGGCCATACTTGTCGTACAACTCCTGTACGAACAAGAACAAATGATAAGACGATGAAGGAGGAGCCGAAGACAATAAATTCACAGGGCCGGGAAGTCGGAGAAGAAGTCCTTCCTCATCCTTCTCTTTTCCAAAACCTTTATTCGCCCTGTGTAATACACGCACCTGCATGTCCGAGCCTGTGCTCGTCTTCATGGCGCGAATGGTTTCGGAGATGGCGGTTTGCCGGGAGACCGGGTCGATGTAGTTGGCAGGGGGACTCCGGCGGCGAGTGGCCGCCAGCGAGGTCTGTGTGGTGGCCTCGAGTTGCCGTTGTTTCTCCTGTGGAAGTGTCGATATGGGACAACAGCACAAGGGAAATACGCAGCAGACATGACAATACAGCAACGAGAACCTTCCAGGGACCGGAGAAGTCCTGGGCGGGGTTGGGTATATGTGGGAGTATGTATATCTGTAGGAAGGTAGGAGTGTGAGGCGGGTGCGTAGAGGAGGATGGGCGAGAGTGAGCGGAGCGAGGGTAGAGCGCGCGCATAAGGGATGCATGTGTGTGTGTTTATTGTACGTAGAAACGTCATTTGTAATTAGCTCGCTTTCGGGTTGCGTGTACAGGTGCCGTACAACACCCTGTAGCGCAGCGCTGTACCCGCACTCGTACGGAAACTGTGGCAGGATGTAAGGTTTGGGGAGGATGGGGAAGCGGCCACCTTGGATCACGATTGGAGCGAGCGAGCCCCCATGTCCCCTCCACAAACTCGCCCCCCAAAGCCCAGATCCAAATCATCCCCTCCAAGGCCCTTTTCCCATCTCCTCTCCCCCTCCATTTCCCCCTTTTCTCTGTGCCCCCATAACCAGCATCAGAATCAGAGCTTTGGAGGCAGAACCGGTGTAGGAGCCATGCCCAACCCATTCCTCGATCCCCCAACACAACCCAGATGAAACCCATCCTTGTACCAGGCTATCCGGCAGTGCTATGCTAGAGTTCCAACCCCCCGGCTGGTTGTTGGGTGTCCGAGACCGGTCCAAGTCGCCAGCGTCCTTGTCCGCCTTGCATGTCGTAGTACCCGCCAGCTTGCGCACATCCTTCGGGGGTTGCGGTTTCGCGAGGAAGGTTCGGGAAGGAGACACGAAATATGATGTGATATAGCATGGACAAGTCATCACTGCGACCGTGTTATAACAGTATGAGTTGCAGGGGATGCACCTTTGCTAGTCGTGGTTATGTCAGCCCAAGTAAGGACTCCATCGAGACAACAGGTACCCACCTTGCTGTTGATGAGCTCTGGAGACAGCGTGTTTGATAGGAACTCATCTGCAAATTGATGGTGATGTTTACCAGGGTTAAGGGCAACGCTCTCGTTCCAGACTGGCCCTCGGAGACCAAGCACGTCCGGCTTGCTTTCGATTGTTGCCTTTCGGGCGTCCTTCACCTGAATAAATCGTCCATACTTTGAACATACTTTGAACATTATAGCAATGCTTTATGACATACCTTGTCTAACAGTGGTACACGCACAACCGTCTCATGCGCTCCATAGTTTACCCTTCCAGTCTTCCCCGGGACAACAGTAACAGGTGTTGCTGGTGGTGGTCGCACTAATACTTCGGAGTACTCCTGCGTAACGCGAATACTACTTGTTTCGCTCATCGGCTAAAATACTAACGTACTTTGTTAACCAAAATAATGAGCTAATGTATTTAACTATAACCAAGAAACGGGAACCTTCGTTAAGTTTGCGTACTCAGTGACTTCGAAGTGCCACAGGCTTCGGTGAAGAGTTAATGAGGGATGATTCAGGAAACGATTTAGATGCAGAGTGTTACACGTAAAATTATGCAAGCCGAAGCCGTCTTACACAATCCATAACCAGCTCCGAAGCCGGACGAGCAACAACAACGGATGCCAAAACTTTCTCAAATGGCCTTCGGGCCCTTGGAGTCCAGCATGAACTTCCCAATTTTAACCTGCGTAAAACGGCAGGGGAATTCATGAGGTCCTCGGCATCTTGGGAGCCTATGGTCACCTCCGAACTTTCGTCAGTAAACAACTCATCCCCATCCAAAAATCTAATGTAATCTCTATATCAACTACAATTTAAAACGGATATACTGTACATGCGTAATTCAGCGTTGTTCTACTCGCTGCCTTGCTCTTCTGTTACACCTAAACCGAATAGGACTGCCTCAAGGCTTGATTAAAAATAGTGATAAGGTTGGAAGACAATCGCAGGGCATCGCAGGGCCTGGCCGCTCCAATACCGTGACGCATCCTTCTATGACAAGACCCAGACACGCATCTCCATAACAATATCCATATGTGCCCACTGCGCAACACTCCATAACCCCACACCCATGTCCATGAGGCATCCTCACCTCACATCCTCACCCACAATCACATCCACATCCACAGATTTCACGTCCCCACACACGCACACACAAGCACGTCCACGTCCACATCCACCCTCACCTACCTCGATCGTCTCCGCCCACTGTCCATCTTCTGGACTAAGCACCACCATCGTGTATTCACCCTCCATGGAGCCCTGTAGGCAGGGACAGGGGAGATTAGGACCGGGGAGATTGGGGAGATTGGGAGCCCGGAAGGATTGATGATTAGTGAAAAGAAGTACCGCTGGCTCAGACACCCAACCGCGTGCATCCCATCCAACATTAATGCCACAGGACCCGGTAGTGGCCCAGCTCAAAACCCTTGCTGTGTTTAGTTGACTACTACAAAACCACGTCATCCGTCACGTATGATGCCGCACCTGTGGTGTGGATAGCGGACACCCCGACGTGTATTCGTGGCTCTTCCCGGGCAGCAGGATCGGCTGCTCTCCCACTACCCCCGGCCCCCTGAAAAGCGGCAGCAAAGAGGCGGAAGCGGCGGCAGATGGCAGAGCGGCAGAAGCAGAGCGGCGGCAGGCAGGTAGTAGGGACGACGAAGCAGACAATGCGAAGGTGGGACGCGAAGTGCAGGGAGGTACACAGGACGCACGAGGCATAAGGATTATGTTCGCTGAAGGATGCCATTTCTAGGGGCTTCCTGGGTTCTATCCACCACTCGGACGGAGGTCAACGCACTGAGGGAAAGGTGTGCATAACGCGTAGTGAAAGGACAGAAACAGGTTAACAGACAGACAGACAGACGAATGGACGGACAAGCATCGGGACAGACTCCTTTCTGACCGTCCGTAGTTTTCCCGGCTGTCGCCTAGGCCGGCAAGTTTTCACCCTTACGCCGCCATTGCCCACCTACCGGTTGGCAATTTGCCCGGCCCCTCCCTATACAGCCCCTCGCCTCCCCCATGCGGGCGCGTCTCAACAAGGCCCCCCTGCGTTGCCCGTACGTGTGAAACTCACCTAACTTCCTCCGTCTTCCCTCGCGCGTCCGTGATAATCCAGTGGCGGTTTCGGAGCTGTACAATAGCGTCAGTTGTTTCGTTGGTGATGGTCACGTGGTAGGCAAACATGTAACGACCTGCCGAGGGACTCGATTTGGTGGGCAGGTAGAAGCTGAGGGGAAAAGGCGGGGGTGGGAACGGGCATCAGGGCGCCACGCGGGACGGGACGAATAGTAACCTGCTAGAAATAGTACGAGGTCTACGGTGGGGGTCGGTGCTCAGGAACATGTATAAATTTGAGAAAATGTGTTATTAAAATTAAGTATTAGTTAAATGTTTTGATTGTCGCACATGTGCACACCCCCTCCATGCCGCTGTCCGTCTTTTTTTACTTCTGTCCTTCCGATCTTTCGCCTGTTTCTCCTCCCTCCTTTCGATCTGCTCCTCCCTCTTTCCCCCAGCCTCTCCTGCCCTAATCCTCACCTCTGCACCTGTACTTTAATCCCCCGGGTGATAGCAGTGCTCTGTGTAGTGATCAACCCGGCCTCCATCAGAGCAGCGGGACCTAGCTCGTCCTCCAGCTGCTTGATCTGGGCCTTGATGCGGGCGGCGTCCTAGAGGATTTTTGGGAGGGGAAGAAAAGAAATTCCATCAAGCTGACTGTAGTTTTTTTGAGCTATCCATTTGAGCTATCCAGTGTGGTCGCCGCGATTATTCCCCAGCCAGCGATACAAATACGCATCGATGCAGGAAATACGGATAAGAATGTCCGTACGATACTAGACAAAGACGCGCGCAATGCCGCGTGCAAGATTTTTTGAAGTCGACCCAGGTTGGGCTATAGGATATCGCATGTCCGACATACGCCTCAGCGTCCTGTGAAAACTAGGAAGGATAATCAGACAGACCTCAACGGACGAAACACAGCAGTTTGCAAATGATACAGTGGACCCCGATCAGGTCAAGTGCAGCAAACACTGTGGGCCTTATTTCGGCCAGGCCGCACTAACATCACTGGATAGAACACCTCAGCTAAACACAGCAGGCCGGCAGTACGGCAGACTCGGCAAACCCACTTCATATCGTTCTTCTTTGATGGCTTGCTCCAAAGCTTTCTTTGCGACCATGACCGGGTCCTTGCGGTTTAATGCTTCCAGCTCCTCTTTCAATCGGGCAGCCGCTTTGAAGTCCTCGCCTTTGACTGTTCCAACGGAAGGGACGGCAGTTAGCGACGACAAGGCAGAAAGAAAAGATTTAAAAACATCTGGCGAGACATGCATTTGCGTAAGGAATTACATTTGACGTGCCGTGTGAGGAATGTACTGGATTGCGGGCGAAAGGTGACGCACCCGCAAGTTTTATTTCCAACTCAATATCTTTCCGCCGTTGGATGAGTTCCCCAATGCCAGGCGACGGATTGGGCGCTGTATCTGCCTCAGCAGCGCGAGGCAACAGTCGCAGGCAGCGGCTTCCACTCCATGGGACCTGGCGAATGATAGCCGCACGCCCTGATGTTCCAGCTGTTGGTCTGTGTAGGTTAATTGTAGACCGGTACAATGTGGTTGCCATCCTAAACTTGCAAACACTGGCACCAACTGAAAGCTAAATCGACAACTACTCCGACAGTGATACAGCTTGCCTTTTTCTTGCAATTTATTCAAGTGCAATTCAACATGCCATGGTGTAAGACAAACCATGTTGCATGGCAGAGTTATGAGGTACCTGGATATTCACTCATTTCTTTGCGGGCCTTGCATGGTGCATAGAATATAGCGATGGGCGCACCATAATTCTTTCCCTTTCGCCCTACGTACACTTCAGGTTCAAAGTCTGATCCCTCACAATCCATACCAAAAATGGTGCGTACCTTCTTACATCGACGCACATGCCGGCTTGGGTGGAGGTCCCTACATCACCTTGGAAAAACCAACTTGTGCGTAATTTTACTTCACAGGCCACCGAGCAGAGCTACATCATGATCAAGCCTGACGGCGTCCAGCGCGGGCTGGTTGGCGAGGTGATCAAGCGGTGAGTGTTTCCAATGACAGTTACAGCAGCAGGCTGCATGTTATTATATAAAGGCTTTCCTCAACGTTGTAGCATCGCAAGGTCCATCTAACGATTTACACTCCTCCTGCACTGGAGGACCAGGCGACCATTTGCCCTTGGTCGAATAATGCGCTCGTTGTTGTATCATTGATAAGCAAATGGCCAATAATAGGATTGTTTCTAACCTGGCTGAGGGTTTATTGAAGACTGTTGAAGTATGCGGACGGCCAAGGCGGCGCGTACAAGATACCCACAACTCCGATCACTTCTTAGTGCCCATCTGGCAGAATGGCGAGGTTGCGTGCCATTAATCGATACCTACCTATATAAAATTATGATAAAAATGGCGCTTAAGTTGTTTCGACTGTTCCCGCCTAACCCCTCAGGTTTGAGCAGCGTGGCTACACCCTGAAGGGCCTGAAGCTCCTGAACGTGCCCAAGGACCTGGCTGAGAAGCACTACCAGGACCTGAGCGCGCGGCCTTTCTTCCCCGCCTTGGTGGACTACATTTGCAGGTGGGAGGAAAAGGAACTGTCCCCGCAGCTTGCTACCTGCCTTGTGGTAGACTTGGGGAGCGCGGCATAAAACTGCGGGGAAGCTACAGGTTAGGGTGACGAGAGGAGCATAAACCGTTTGCAACGCTAAATCCCCATTTACGTTTGTATGTCTTTCTGCATTGAGTGGGCAACCAAGCCAGTCGCATACATCTGCAACCCCAAGGCCATCCCATCACACACACCCATTCCACATTCCCCGCAGTGGCCCGGTCGTTGCGATGGTCTGGGAGGGCAAGGGCGTTGTGGCCACTGGCCGCAAGATGATTGGCGCTACAAACCCGCTGGCATCGGAGCCGGGCACTATCCGTGGCGACTTCGCCATCGAGGTGGGCCGCAACGTCATCCACGGCTCGGACTCTGTCGAGAGCGCCCAGCGCGAGATTTCCCTGTGGTTCCCGGAGGGTGTGGCTGAGTGGACCCCCGCTGTCAAGCCCTGGGTCTACGAGTAAGCGGGACGCGCGAAGCACAGAAAAGCGAGCCATCGGGCTTGGTCTGCTTGACCCAATGGCGAAGCACCCTGTGGAAACCAAGACATGCATTGCCTGCTCGATTCTACAAGCATAGGTCGCTGGGTGCAGGTTTCGCGTCTGCGGCGCGGGTATCGCGCTTTGCATGTGTTCGTCTCCCACCGAAGGTGGATGGCCGGGCAAGGCTGCTGTTGGTCCATGAAGTGTGCTTTTGCAAGGGGTGATGCGGGAGGGGAAAAGAGGAGGTGTTTATTCGGGGGCTGGGATGCCTTTGTGATGATGTCTTCTGGTGACGAGCGCAGCTTCAGTTTTTGGTGTATATGACGTCAGTCGCGAATTACTCGAGTACGAGGCGTAAATGCATTTAATACTCGTAAGACTCGCAATCAAGCACAGGCGCAACTTCGGAAACACAGGCTGTAATCGTTCATACCATCCTGCTTTTTGGCCATGAAATGTAGATGCACGATTGCTATTGCCTACGGTACAGTCAGTACCAGCAGCAGCGGCAGTGGAAAGACAGTTGCGGCATAAGCCAGTCAGTATTCCCTTACCACCGCTTGTTACTGGTTGGGGCAGGAATGATCTCTGCACACCGCATAGGTAGTTGAGACTTCGACCGTCATACAAAGCCCATCTATACGGTGAACTATATAGGAAAAGCAAAGCTTTCGCAATACAAGATAAAGGTCCGCACAAAGGGAGGGAAGCCAGAGGGTCGCAATCGGGTTAGATGCGAAATGGGGGTCGGTCACGGGAATGAGAACAGGGGGGATGATCGCGGCTGGGAGATCCGGACAGTTGGGATGGTTTCCACTGGACGATGCCGACAGCTGATAATCGACCGTAAAAATCAGGGGGGCCATGGACGCAATGTGTAGATTACAGCGAAATAGACTAAAACTGATTACTCCACGTTGCATGCCTCCTTCAGCATGTATGCTTCGCAACAGCTTAGCACATAGCAGCATTGCATGCGGCGTTCTTAAGACTGAGTATTTTGCATGCAGATATTCCTCATGCAACATTTTTACTCGGTACAGCGTGCTGTTGATGATCATCAAACTATGTTACTATCCATCGCTTCATGCATCGCATGTACGGCAATTGGATTTTGCGGGAAGGATTTGGTTTCTTTCACTGCAGCATTTGTTTCCTGTAGCATGGAGTGCGTCGAGACCTATCATTTTGTATTTCTGCCTCACAGTCGCTTTGTTGCAACACATAAGGTTCAGGGCTTTACATCTTTACTAAACGGAGACAACAGGGCTGACATCTGGCAGCGTTCCTCAAATCAAGGGCAAAGCAGTTTAGCAAATGGAGTCTTGCAGCGGGTGAGCATTATCTTTCCCCATGTCTGTACCGGTCAAGGCTTTTCCCGCGCAGCTCTCCGGTCTCAACTCGCTGCCTCATGAAAGCTTTCCGCCTCCATCGACCGGCTCGTAATACTCAGGAATTTACGAACCTTATACATAGCCGTGTCCTTTCGGATGGCAGCGCCTCTATCCGTGGTGTCCCGGCTTTCCACTTCGCTGACCTGGTCGCGTCTGGCGAGCCCTCCAATGGCTTCATTACGAAAGTCGACACGTTTTGTAACAGTTACAGTTGGCAACGAGGATGTTCTGCTTCCGAACGGCCTTAATGTGGTGGTCCTGGGAACTCGACACAGCGCTCATCTCTCCTCGTGGGCTGGGTGCCGTTGCCATGTGTCACCATCCTGAGGTCGATCGCCAGTAACACATTCTTTTTACCGACCATACTTGTTACCAACACGTCGATATTAACAGGCCAGCCATTTGAGAGCTTGCCAGAAGCGACAAAGTCAGCGGGCTGTGATGGCAGGACACCACGAACAGTCGTGCTGCCATCGGAGAGGATTCCCTTGTGCTTTCGAACATACATATGGAGGCGGAAAGCTTATAGAGGCAGGGTATTGATACCCGAGAGCTGCGGCGGGAAACCGTGAAGGTTGCACCGCCCACTGAGTTTGTAGTATCCTCTTCTGCCTGTGCGAATTAGGGCCCATGCCCATTTCCATTACACCACCCTAAAATCACTGACAAGATAACCCGTTTTAAGCACACACCCTCAGAAACCGTGGACGTTGCCTCTTTCCTCTTTGCTTATAACGGGTTATCTTGTCCGTGGTTTTAGGGTGATGTAATGGAAATGGACATGGGCCCTACTGCTTTCCCGTCCATGGTGCCTGATTTTCCCACCGAATCGTTCTTGGTCCGCTCTTCCTGGCTGCCACTCCCATTAATGATTCATATCCCCTGTAACTGCCACTAGCCTGGCCCGGACCGCTGATGATTATGCACTTGCGCCCCCCCTATGTCTGTTAACAGTGTAATAACGAGCCAGACGCCGGTGCCCTCCAGTCGCACGCCGGTGTCCTTCACCCCCACTGCCACCCCGCCCATGTCTATGTCTTCTCTCAAGAATGCCCTGACACCGCCCAGCACGAGCCTCAGCGATCGCAAGTACGTTTCAGGAGCTCTCATTCGGCTCAACGGGTCGGGAGGGGTGAAAATTAAATGCCAGGTGGCGCATTCAGCGGGTGGAGAAAGGGTACGTGGCGCCACATGACAATGTCCATCGGGGATGAGGTTTCTATCCGGAATCGGCTTCGGAGCCGTTGGGTAAAAGGGAATATTACTTGATAGTTAAAATGTAAAATGCAAAAGTAAAAAGTCAAGCTAATAAAGTCACGCAATCTGTGAAACTACTAATAACCTGCGGCAAGGCAACAGTTGTTTATTTTTTTAATTTCTGTCGGCGTGTCCATCCCGCTGTCTTGCATTACGCCGTTGCAGGAACTACCACAAGATTGCTCAGCTTCATCCGTACGACAGCAACTGGTGCATCAAAGCTAAGGTCGAGCTTAAGGCCCCTCTTCGCAGCATGTCCATACGCGGATCTGATGTCAAGATCCTCACTGTAGATCTCGTGGACGACACGGTGCGTGTTCCTGTGGGATTACCGCTTGTGCATGTGTGCAGGGGGGTTTGGGCGGGCCGTGTATGCGCGTGTGCCCTGGTGGGACATTAATGCAATACGTACAATACGCCTACGTCTGTGCTTCAGGAAAAAAGAAAATGAGAAATTTCCGCAACATGTATGGTTTCTTCCCCCATGTTTCCGATCTCCGTGTTCATCCCCCTCCGGCCCCAGGGCCAAATGATTCAAGGTACCTTTTGGAGGGCCCCCGCGGAGCGCTTTTCAGAATCGCTCATGGAGGGGAAGGTGTACGTGTTCCATCGCTTCAAGGTTAGCGAAGGGTCAATTTCAAAATAAATTATAGGGGTTAATTTCAGGACTGTCGTCTGGATAATTTTGAGAAATTTAATTTCACGGTCGAAAGCCGGTCCGCAAGGTTCTTCTGCCATTCACATCGGTTGACCGTTTCATAAGCCAAAAGCATCAAGAGTTATCAAGTTATCAAGAGTAACTACCACTATTGGTTCTTATTATCCGTTATGTGTTGTCGTCGTGTATCCCGCTGTCTTACAGGTGAAGCCTGCGGACAAGAAGTACAGCAGCGTGAAGGCAGACTACCAGATTGACTTTACAGAACGGTGTGTACGAGCACACGCCGTAAGAGCGTCACCTTTACAGTAAAATTCATAGCAGCTCATGCGTGCGTGTGCAACATAATATAAGGTCGCTAATTGAAAATACTGTCCTCGGTTGTTGTCTTTGCCATCTAGCGTCGCAGCAATAACTAGGCATACAAGCACGACAACACTGGCTCGGCCCATCATTTCCCCCCCCATAAGATTATCATGGTCCCTTCTCGCTTTCCTCACTACCATCGCCGAGACAAGGAATGAAGGGATTTGGGTCACCTCTGGGTTTTTAGGTCGCTTCATTACGACCACCCGAGTGGTCAGCTGTGCTCCCCGCACCCCTCATCCACTCCTTCACTATTTTCTTGGCGCCAACCCAGATGTCCTCCTCTCCATCCCGTACCCATACTTAGCCTTCCACCCATCTCATCCTTCCCTTCACCGTCCCCTAAACGCCTTTTATCCACGCCATCTTAAACCAGTACGGAAGTGACTGAGGCTGCCGACCAGGACACCTCATCCATGACGGCGGCTGTGGAGATCACTCCCATTGAGGTGCTGCCTCGTCGGGTGGGTGGCCGTATGCCGGTGGACGTGATGGGGGTGGTGCTGGCGCTGGGGCCCCTGGGGACTGTGAAGCGGAAGGCGGATAGCAGCGAGCTGCCGCGGCGGGATATCACGCTGGGAGATATGAGGTGAGTGCCGCAGGGGGGGGCATCACCTTGGGCATAGGGTCTCAAGACACCTCGTTAGTGGCTCGTTCGTATGCAAAAAACGTGTTGACGTGAGGGCTGCCGGGGGGTTGCATACATGGAGGAGAATTGTGATATGGCAAGAGTTGGTTTTGGGTTTCGTCTGCATGCTACCTAACACCCCGTTACCTACCCTTCACGTTCGAAAGCGCCATGGGGGGATACGCATGCTGTTTTATGTGTTGAGGATGATTCGTGTCCTGGCCATGTCCATGGCGTAAGAACCACGGCCTTATCATTCCCCGAGTTCATTCCCACTTCCATGGCCACCCTCGCCACTCCCCTTATTGGGCCCCGGTAACGGGCGCCTCCAACTGGGCAATGTGAACTTATACAGTTCACATTGCCCAGTTGGAGGCGCCCGTGGGCAATGTGAACTGTATAAGTTCGTGTTCGCATGTCCCTTTCATGCCCAGTCCATGCGTCTTCCAGTTCTAATTTTTTCACACGTCCATCCTCTGGTTGTGTTTCCAATGTGCTCGCATTCCCTCCTTTCCTTCAGCTGCAAGAGTGTGGTGTTGACGCTGTGGGGGGACAACGCTAGTGCCTTCGCGGGCCAGCTGGAGGGGCAGGAGGGCAAGGTGGTTATGCAGGTGATTAGTAGGGAGGGGAGACGGGGAAAGGGACCAAAGCAGCGCGTCAGGAAAGGGGGAGAAAAGTTGGACCAGCAAGTGGTGCTGTGGTGGGTAAAAAATCCATGGAAGGCACGAGAAAACAGGTTCCATATGGTCATTTAGTTTATTTAGGGTCGAGGCCCTCTACACTTCCCACCTAAATGTCCTTGAACGAGCCCAAGTCTCCTACCTAATTGCTAACTCGTGTTTCAAACAGAATACCACGTTCACATCCGAGCATCACCTTTGGTCTTTCCTGGTGCGCTCCAACCAACTTGTTTAACCAACTTGTCCCAACTTCCAACTGCCAGGTGACCCACGTTCGCGTAACTGACTTCAACGGCTGCTCCGTGTCTTCTCTGACCAAGAGCGTCGTCAGCCTTAATCCGGAGGGGTCCGGAGCTGCGCAACTGCTCACGTGGTATTCCACAGCGGGCATGGTTCCGGATCGCTTTACCCCCGTTGGACAAGACCTGCCGGGGACACGGGCTGTCAGGTGCGAGCGTAGAGCAGCACTTGGGGGTGTGCGCATGCGCTTGTAGGGAACGGCCGAGAGAGAGAAAGAGAGAAAGAAAGAGAAAGCAGGATGAATCCAAAGCCCGCGCCTTCAGTTGGTGCTTGGATTTAACAGCGCACTTTTGGGCATGGCGGGGCAGAGAAAAGAAAGCCTAAAGTGTCCGCCCTGAACGAAAGTATTCCCTCCACAGCACTCTCGCTCATGGTCGTCTTCCGTTGGTGATCTTAGGTACTCTTCCGGTGCGATAATTTTAAAAGAGGAAGCTTGCAAGAGGGAGTGCCTCGGTGCTGTGTGTGAGCATCTCCTAAGTGGCTCGATTGGATTCGATTGCCCCATGAGCGGCGGGGTCATCAACCCTCCATACCTTCAAGCCTCCCATCCTTGATACCTCATGGGGCCTTATCTAACTTCCCCTCTCTGTTTCGTTCTACCTCCACTGCAGCAATGGCAGCGGGGCCGTACCCTCCCGGGAGCGATTCTTCACCGTGAAGGACGTGGCGGGAATCAGTGCGGACTCGCTTCAGGATGACAAGGCCACTTTCCAGGTGTGCTTTATGAAGCGGAGGAAAGGAGAAGTCGGTTGGCGGGTTGGTTGGTTTCGGTGCTGTTTAACGAGGCATCTTCAGGCGAGAGGATGAAACCAAGTCCCCACCTGTCGGCGAGGTTTCCAGCCGGCCGTGATTCCTTTTGTAGACTCCTATCTTTGGCAGATGTATCTTGTCATCATGCCGTGGTGTAGCCTCGTGTACTTCTTATGCAGGCATAACTAGGGATAACAGCAGTCAGCCGAAACGGGCGCCTATCTCAGCGCGTTTATGCACACTGTGTACTGTTCGCACCCTGCGCTGGCGAGTCTCGAAAGTTTGGGGGCCGAGGAAAGGAGCTCTTTGCTCTATTTGGGGATTGCCAAGGATGTGAAGAACCCCTGTCATTGCAAATGGCCAAGTTTGACTTGCAGCAGGAACTTCAGATGCAGCATAAAACCCGGTTACTGTACTCATTACTCCACGCTTAACCCCCCCCTTTGTCCCCCGGTGCGCCTATTCACGTCTCAAAACTTCCACGGCAGGCCGTGACTGCCTACATCGCAATGGTGAACAGCGAACTGCAGATGTACTACCTGGCTAATCCAGAGAATGGCCGCAAGGTGCGTAAGGGCGCGTGCTGTAATTAAACACGTAGAGCGATGCACGGTCTTGTCACTTGGCGTCTACACTCCTTGTGGCAAGAAGGCCGCCTACACCGCGCCAGCCATAATACATACATACATGTGCTGCTGCTGCAACGTGGCTGCTGGTGCTGCACCCCGCAGGTTGTTGATCAGGGCGGTGGTCGCTGGGCGGAGGCGGATGGTCGTGTGGTTGAGCGCCCCGAGCACCGCTACGTTCTGAGTGTCAAGCTGGCGGACCATACCGGGGAGGCTGTGGTGCAGCTGTTCAATAAGGAGGTATGGATTAGCGACCGTGGGGATATAGGATAGAAATAATGGGGATTTAGTAGAGTCATGGGGTTCACTGGTCGCCTAAAAGCTGTCTGGCGGAAAAAGTGGATGGGCCGCAGGTGTTGTAGGGGGGAGCTGGATTTGGACTGCGTTCCATTTGGTTCTGTTCCTGGGGATATAAGGGGGGGATTTGGGGTTTACCCGATTTGGGTTCGTGGGTTATAGAGGTTTTCTGGTTTTGCCTTAGACTGCCAGACTCCTTCCCTGGGGCGAAGGGTTAGATGGAATCTATCTGGTGTGGTAAAAGTAACTGACTAATTATCCGACCTGGTCTATTTGCATTGTGTATGGCATTTTTTTATCTTTTTTACAGCCTGTTTCACGTTTTTCGTGGCATGATGCTGTCATCCCTTAGGCTGAGGCGGTGATGGGCATTAAGGCGGACGAGCTGGCAGCCCTCAAGGAGGCGGGAGAGGGCTTCGAGGCGGCGCTCCGGGCGGCCCAGTGGCGACCCTGGTCGGTAGTCGTGATGAGCAAGGCACGGGAGTACAACGGCGAGCGGCGTGTACGGCATACAGCACATCGTGTTGACACGTTGGATTGGGTGTCAGAGGGGCAGCGGCTGGCGATGCTTATTGGGAAGTACGGCAATTAGATAAACCTGACTCACAACACAATGCGTATGTTACAAATCCTGGTAAATTAATTAATGGATTCAGCGCTATTTTTTCCACCAATGCCACTACACAACCAGAATGGCAATAAAGCGACCATAATGCGGGTCCTTTGCCGAATGACATCCCTGCCGCTGAGGCATGTAACTCCAAAACCCCCTAAATCGCCCTCCCATCATCCAAATGCTTCTGCCGCGCTTAATAAAAAATAAAATACATGCGTACGGCGTCGCTAGAGCCGGGCCTGGGGTGAAAGACCGCCCTGAAACAGCTGTCGCTCGTTTTCCCGGTACTTTGCCTGCCGCGGTCCGTATACAGATGTCCACAGCTCGTCCTCACGACGTCTCAGCTTCTGCCGTACATCGGCCGTAAGCTCTTGCTCCAGAACCTCCCTGCCATGACGATGATATGAAACATTTCATGGCGTTTTCCTTACTAAATGTATAATTGAAGGAAAGGAAATCACGGAGGGGAAGGAGGGGGTCGCTGGGCGGGCTGGCAGTTGGCGCATGGTCGTCCAGAATCCATAACCGCAAAGGACGGCGTTATATACCCAGGGAGAAGCGAGTATGCCCCTGCTGCGGCACTGATAGCCATATTGCGCATGAGAAGTACATTTTGCTGTACTGCCCGGTGTACGACAATCAGATCTGAGAATTGGATTCTCCACGCTTCAAGCATAAGAAAGACCCTATGAAGTGGGAACCTGGGCGACTGGCAAGGATGCTGGAGCGTATATGGTCGTTCCGCAACTCTATCGGTCCCTTTGGTAGTGAGTATCCTTTATCGCTTGCTTTTCCTGAAGTGCGAGGTAGGATGGTGTTTATACGCGATCTGGCAGCCCTTGTGCCCTCGGCTCATATAGGGTGGTTTGCAGGTACGCACGCACCCACAACCATGTAACACACACATCATAACCCTATGACTCTTAATGACCCGAAACGATGGACTTCAAGAGAACGTCTTTCGTCATTTCACATCCCCTTAACAAATGCATTTCATTTTGACCCACCTGAATTCCCGCAGCAGCATGTCCGCCTCCCGTATTCCAAATACCATTGGCGGCTTGATCTTGATCACGTTGTCGTACGGCCCATCCGTACTGATCAGCACCCGCCGCGCCTTCATGCGCTCCTTGATCCATCTGCAATTCGGAGATGTAGGAGATCAACATCAATCTACGGCATCACCACATAGCAAGTGGATATCTTTGGCATCACTTAACCGTACCCTTGGATGTTGCTTTCAGCGCGCTGGGACCCCAAGTATGCATGACAACTATAAACACGCGCGCACACACACACACATACACATTTCAGCTTTCCAGCATTTGAGCTTTTTGGGACCGCGGCTCACATCACGGGAACACATCTTCGGGTACTTCTTAGTCGAGTTCTTCCAGCTAGTGTTCTTCCCAGGCCGAGTTCTCCGTAAAACTTCCTAAAATTCCTTCCCAGTTCCCAATCTCATCTTGCCCCAACTCCGCAACACACCGCGGGTAGCTGTCTCCCGATAATCTCCCCGATAGGTCCCACCTGGCTGTAGCAGGAGCGTGGCGCTTGGAGGCCTTATCACGTACAATCTCAATCCCGAGGAACAGCCCCAAGCCGCGTACGTCGCCCACCACCTCATGGGTCTGAAGCAGCTGCCGCAACCCGTACAGCAAGTACGAGCCCACCTGCATTGGCAATGGTTGCCGAAGGGGTATTGATAAATCAAAGGACGTTATCCCGGTGGCGAGGGCCCTACAGGCCCCTCCGGTACAAACCGCGTGTGTTGCCGACCGCATGACCACACCATGGCAGGGCGGGTGATGAAGGCGCCGCACAAGAGGGAGAAGGCACTGAGAAATGGTCAGTGATGGCAATGGTCGTGACCCTCTATGAAAAACGTGAATTTCATGCAGTCGAATGTTTTGCGGGCTGATAAAAGCTTGCCATTCCATAGGAGTACACAGGCCTAATGCCCCAGCCTTAGGAAGGAGCGAGATCAAGGTTCAAGAGTAGGGCGACCCTGCATGTCGCACGGGGTACGCGCTGTGGGGCGGCCGGCCTAGGTAGCTCCATCACAGGGGCGTATGCCAGGTTTGCTCCCTTCCACTCGTCACCCACCCGCTGTGCATGCTGCTGCAGCCCGTCGCGCTGCAGGATGCACAGTACGGCAAGACCCGCCGCTACTGCTGCAGTACTGCCGCCGTACGTATTAAAGTACTCCATGCCCGGCGCCGCGAATGCAGCTGCTAGCTCGCGGGTAGTGGCAAGAGCCGCCAATGGGTACCCGTTACCTATACGGCAGACCGTACGACAATTACAGTAGGATAGGGTTGGCAATCTACGGCGTCGTATGTGTCCGCATATAACTGTATCGTTGCATGAATCCAAGCGGCAAATAGTTTAATTACAAAGCGGATTTTTATGGATAATTGTTTAAAAAGCTCGCTAAATAATCATGGAAACCAGGGGCCAAACGGTCCCAAGTTCGAATCCCTGAAGGTTACCGGATGCCCAGGAGAAAGCGAAACGGCGAAGGAGGGCTTTGGAGGGGGCCCCCTGGGCTGATGAGAGACGGCAATGCAGCCGAAGGATGCCGTACATCCCAGGCCGAGCAAGCGCAACCACCAGCCAAGAACACAGCCAGCCCACAAGGCAGCGTGCCAACGGGAACAGCACAAGCCGGAAGTCCTTCCTTGTGCGGCCGATTCGTGGTGCAATTCTGGTCTTTCCTCCCGGCACGACGTGTCCCTCTACCGACCAGTCCACGCACGCACCCTATCGCATGCAACTGCACATCCACACTCCCTCCCTTCAAGAATCCGCCGCCATCTATAGCCATCCGCCAGGCTCTCCCCCCAATGGCTGACCTCCACATCCAGATCCAAATCCGCATCCGCCTCGCCTACGTAGCCGCCCCCACTCAGCTTACCGATAGGTTTCCCCATGGTGACGATGTCCGGCGCTACCCCCGGCTGTGTCTGGAAGCCCCAAAAGGCCTCGCCGCAGCGCCCGAAGCCGCACTGCACCTCGTCCGCCACCAGAACCACCCGGGCGGCTCGGAGCTCATCGTACAGGTCCTGCAAGGGCGAGGAAAGTAGGGGGAGGGAAGTAGGGGGAGGTGGGTAGGACGAAAGTGGGGGGAAGCAGGCGGGGGGTAGCGGGGCTGCTGAGGAAATGGCCGACCAACGGAAGTAAAGAAGCGGGAGGGCTGTGGGTTCTGTGGACTCTCTGGGACGGCCGGTCACACGAGGAGGAAATCCAGGGACGTGCGGACGGGTCCGACAACAAGCTGGATGAAAGAAAACGAAAATGGAAAAAGTTGTGCCTACGATCCAGGAGTTGTACACCACACCTGGAGGGCCCGCTTCAACCCTTTGGAAGATTACAGTAGCCTTTCCGGTTATTGGGTCTTGCCTAAGGCGGTTTCCTGGAGGCTTTTCGTTCCCCAACTGTCCGCCTAGCGCCCACCCGCCCAACACGGGGCCTCTCTGAAATTACCTTGAGGTAGCCCGGCGGCAACACCACCTGGCCCCCGCACGACAGTATCGACTCGCAGAAGAAACCCCCGAGCCGTCCACCACACCGCTCCGCAGCCGCTAGCACCGCGCGTGCAGCCGCCCGGCCGTCCAGGTTCTCGCCCCTTTACATTGTGCGCGATCATAGCAGCAGGAGAGCAAGGAAATACGGCGGGGTGTGTATGATACGGCGCCGTACATTGCGGTGTCGGTGTTCAAAACATGTTTTGAGATGCGGCGGCGAGAGATGAGTCAGGAGGGCGTTCCGGCGAGCCGATTGACACAATAGTATAATGCATTGGTACGTTAGTGTACCGGGGGCCGACGCGGGGTAAGATGGTGGGCAGGGCGCGAGGAATGCGCTACCAGGATGGAGGAGTTTCGTGATGCGTATGTACAAGAAAAAACAAAACAAAAGAAAAATGTTGATTCCTAACAATTCACCAGAGAATTTCCATGTAGGGGTAACGTACATCGGCAGCACGTAAATTCACGTGGGTTGTGTTTTACATAAGTCGGGAGTTCCCGGGGTTAGGAGATTGGGTGGTCTTTGGTGGTCCTCGTCAATCCTATAAAGCGCCTCGGCTGATCGCTGTGTGTCGAAGCTTTGGCTAGAAGCCGTGCACGTCTTGAACCGACACAAAGCCCAGTGCCTTAGTTGCCATAAGGATCCTACCTGTACGGATCTGGGCACGGTACGACATGCACGTGCGGCTGGCGTCCGCCGCCGCCCGTGCCCCAGAATTTGTACGGACTCAATTGAATGAGTGCTGACGTGTGGCCGTGGTAGGCTCCCCCCATAACCGCCACGTGTGTCGCTCCAGGGCGGGCGACAGAGATGAGACGGAGCGCCAAATCATTGGCTTCGGAGCCGGAACACACGAGGTACAGCACCTCTAGCTTTGGGGAGGAAGAGGAGGAGGAGCAGGATGAAGAGGAGGAGCAGGAGGAGGGGGAGCAGGACTCGTGCTGCCGTGGCGATGGCGGCGTCACGTTTTGTAGCGTGTTCGCCTTTGTGGAGCTGCATGATGAGCTGCCGCATGCGCCTTTGTTGCTGTCACTGTTGCTGCTGCAGCCTTCTGGAGTGCTGTTGTGGCGAGTGCAGTTAGTACTGCTCTTTTTGTTACTGTAGGTACTGTTGTTGCTGCTACAAGTAGTGTTACAGGAGTTGTTGTTGTTGTTGGTGGTGGTGGTGGTGGTGTTAAGGGTGGCCAAGAGCATTTCAGTATACCGCGGTAGATCTGGGTGCAGGTAGCGGGAGTTGGTGTTGAGCTTGCGCAACTGGGCTGAGATGGCTGCAACGACCTGCATCAGGGGGTGTGAGACGATTATAGAACGGGGAGCTTGAAATCCACAACTGACTGAACGTGCAAACGGCAACCACCGCAAGACATCAAAGTAGGCAACGGAAGGTTGAGGGTCGGGGACTCCGTCCCCTTTAGGGAAGAAGTGTTCCCCTTCTTTAGGGGAACTAAAGGGGATGAACTAAAGGGGATGAACTAAAGGGGATGAACTAAAGGGGATGAACTAAAGGGGATGAGGTAAATAAAAAAGCTGGCGTGGGGTCGGGACGGACGGAGCGAGGGCGGGAAGCAGGGCATCGAAGACTGGAAAGAGGGTTAAGGCATGGCAAGGTTCTAGGTGAAATCCATGGAGTTGGGACGGACGGGCCAAGGACGTAGGGTTCCCAGAAGCTCCGAGGACGAGAACAGGTTCCTTGTTCATAGTTTTCTTGTGCAGGGAGCGGGGGTTCATTATTGAAGTCCAAGGATTGGCGAAGTGTTGACCGGGATATCAGCGATCGGACCGCGCAAAGTGAAGGGAAATGTTAATGGATGGTGACGCCCGGGATCGAAACATGTTCAAGTGGTACTTATCCTTCCGCCGCGTCAATCGTCCTACTTCCAAATCCGTACAAACCCAGTGCCGTACCTCCGTATTGCTATGCCCGAGGTGCGACACGTTGTTGACGCAATCCAGGTACGACACCCCGTGTTCGTCGAAAAGGTACGTGCCGTCCCCGCGTATGATCATGAGTGGCTGCTCGTACGACAGCGAAGTGTTTGGGCCGTAAGATCGCCGCCGTGCAGCGAGTGCGATGCTGTATTTGTCGCTGGGTGCATGAACGGCGACACCATCGGCGCTGGCAACCGCTCCTGCCACAGCTACCTCCGTGCCATCGGTACCAGTCATGGATCCTAGCCTGCCTGCTACTGCCGCTGTAGGTTCCGAACACAAGCCTTCTTTCATCCTAACCACGTCCAGCAGGCGCCAAGCAGGCCTTTATTTTACCCGAAGGCTATGCCGTACCCAAGATGAATTGATTGCCGTTTTGTGGTAGATTGCCTGCTGGCCGAAAGCGACCAAAGCAGACCAGGACTTCAAAAGTTGGCGATGGCAGAGCCGAACTGAGGACCCAGCGGAGCAGTCCCGGTCCTCGGCGACGTCAACAGCTTTTCACGGGCATTTCATGGAGATCACTGCAAAGTGGGCCTCCTCCCAAATCACGGGGTCCTGAAAAAATTGGACCTAAGCCATGATGACCCAGATCAGAGCACCTGTAACTTGTTGCGTTTCTGTGGCTGATTACCCTGGTGGCTTCCTGCGAAGTCGGGTTCTTGCGTTTCCAGGAGCCTCCGTGTTAGGGCTGGCCCTCCCGGTTTTGATTAAGTAATGGAAAGGAAGATACCGATAGGACGCTGGGTTGGAGGGCGCGTTGATCTGGGTTTGGCGCGTATTGAGTGGAGGTGTGCACGCAGAGCCCTTGGGACTTGTGCTTGCCTTAAACTCGCCAGACTGGCGCGCGCGTAGGTTCTGCGAAACACAAGGCAGGCCGAGAGGCATCCGGGTTAGGTTGAAGCTGAGGGGCTACAATTTTTTTGTAAAAGCGCGAGTCCACAGAGTGTATAGATTAGCAAGCAGCGCGGGATTGCTACGGCGCGGGTATATCCTAATTGAGGTTGGACCTGAACATGAAAGGTTGCCTGGGATGGGAAGACCTGGGGCCTAGGGCCGCAGCCGAAGGCGTATGCGCCCCAGCATCTTGTTGCATGATATGAAGTTCAACGGAGTTGAGGACAGGAACTGACTATTCCACGCAGGCATGTCGTCAGCAATGCATGGAAATGCACAAACCTGCGTAAGGTTTCGGTGCTCTATAGTAGCGCAAGCAATTCAACATTACAGGAAAGTAGTTTTTCTACAATTACGGCTGCAGGCTATTGAGATATTGGCAGTTTACATAATTACAGTAGGCTTCAGTCGGTTGAAGAACCCTAGATTACCGATGTAGGTAAGGCGGATATGTGCAAAGCTTGTTCCTGCACGTTTATGCCACGGCATATATGTTAACCAACTCGTGGCCACTCGCTTCCGCGATTCGTCTAAGATTCGGAGCTGATGCTTCAAGGCCGGTGGTCTCGGGGCTGTTCACTATCCTTTGCAACTCGGCATTTCCAAAAACCTCGGCGGCCACTAGATATGCAAATATTTACGATGGTGACTGTTAATCCACCCCTTGTGCCGGCGAGGCCAAGTGAAATTTTGACTCCAAACGGATCCATACGCAACGACCCATATGCCTGGTGTGTGCGCGGGGTGGGATTAAAACTTAGAGGGTTGTTACCGCAATTGATTTGCTCACTGGAGCTGTGATTGCGAACATGAAGCTGTTCCGGTGTCGGGATCTAACTGGCATTTTCGTCTTGCAGGCTCCGTGATGACGATGGCAAAAATCCCGAAGTCCTGGATTACCTAAAAGCAGAGAATGCATATGGGAAGACTATCTTAGAGGGCGTCAGCAAGGTAAGCTCCATGCTCCGATACCGTTTGCAATAGAGGGTCGGCGATTTATCCGTCTTAGATAGATTTTGTCAAATGCGAGGTAGCCAGACTTAACACACTTATAAGACTGTCCCGCTTTAGAGTGCCAACTCCAGTAAGCAGCAGGCAGCAACCCACGTGCGCTTGCCCAGATGCCCGCACCTTCGCCAGCTTAGCTAGTGCTGTCTTATTCCTGCTCATCTTTTTCTATTCCGAACAATTTCATAAACATTTTAAACCCAGGATTCGCTTCCTCAACCGACAAAACCGCCTGTCCGCAACCGCATCCTGTGCCTCCAATGCCTTTCCGCAAAAAGCGCAGCTGGAGAAGGACATCCTGCGCGACATGGACAGCCGCGTGCCGCGCGAAGAAAGTAAGCCGGCTACGCCATCCGCATCCTTGTCGTTTTGGTACGGCAGTACGCGGGGTCCCGGAGACGACTACTGGGTGTACAATCGCCGCCCGGGGTTCACAAAGCTGCAAGGTAATTCCCGCCCACGGCCTATCCGGATTTTACACACGTAACGAGCCCATACGAGCCAGAGGCGCCCAATGGCCCAGAAGCCACAAGCTAGGTGTATGTGTGCCTGTATATCTGTGTCTACATGTCTATCTGTCTGTGTGTCTGTCTGGACTGCGGCTTGGGACCCGCACAGTGCGGAATTTTTAACTTGTAACTTCACAGAAATTAGGTGGGCTAGTGCGGGATATTGTGGATGGGATTGGGAGATGGCGATTCAGGTTGAACCTTATACGGGGCTGCGGCCAGCGGCCCCATGTATTGGTGGCAGTGCCAGTTGTGACAGCATGTGTATGTGTGTATGTGTTTATATGCGTATGTGTGTATGTATGTGTGTTTGTGTTTGTGTGTGTTTATGTGTGTATGTGTGTTTGTGTGTTTGTGTGTGTGTGTTACACCTCGCGAGTTGCGTTACTCTCCGAAGGCCTAACATGTGTACGAACATTTTTGTTGTTTCGGGTTTGGATGAAACGCTGATCTCCCGTGATGCCTTCCAAACAGCGCACATGGCATCTGCGTGTGCCGTACAAACAGCGCACATGGCATCTGCGTGTGCCGTACAAACAGCGCACATGGCATCTGCGTGTGCCGTACAAACAGCGCACATGGCATCTGCGTGTGCCGTACAAACAGCAGAACAACAACCATTTATGCGTCTCCCTCTCGTTTCACGCAGGCCAGCAAGGCCCCTTGTCGTACGGGCCGAACCTAAAGTCTTCGGAGCAAGTGGTGCTTGACGTCAATAAGCTGTCCAAGGGCTTCAAGTACTGCGATGTGGGAGCAGTCAAGGTATACGGGCGCTGGCGCCGTTCCGTTTCCGTTTTGGTTTCAGTTTTTCAGTCAACCTCAGCGTCCGCCGCCACCTCCACCACCGCTACTATCGCTACCATGCAGCGATGGTCCCTGGTGGCGGGTTTCACCACCTCCGGGCCTTATGCTGTGCCACCCCGGCATCAATACACAACCCCTCTTCACACCCACATCCATACCCACCACATACACACGCTCTTGCGCGATGGCTTTGCGCATGCGGACGGAAAACGTCCGCTCCACCAAACTGGATGAACTGCTGGATTCAACGATGTACGATGATGTACGATGTACGATGATGTACAGCGGATCCTGGTCCCTTCGGTTCCAACCTCGACATGTTCGCATAAAGAACCCCTACCTGGCATTGCTTCTTGCATGATAGCGTTTTTTTGGGTGTTTTCGCTTCTTGGCTTTCCTTCTGCGTATCGCGCATGATTGGAACATTTCTGTCGCCTCTCGTTGATTCGACACGTCAGCCCTCCCCAGATGGGCGTTACGTGGCGTTTTCGGTGGACACGGTGGGCAATGAGGAGTACGAGATTGTCGTACAGGAGATTGGCAGTGGAAGGCGGGTGGCATTCGCAGGTGGGTGTTCTCCCCTCGAGGGCTCCGTGGCTCCCAAACCCACGTGTTCTGAAAACACACCAGCACAAACCGATGTCTTGCCACACCTTTCCCCCTCGCGCTCCTACCCCCCCCGATGCCATCCCACTTTCCATCAGGCGCCGAAGAGCTGTCCTCTGTTGTGAATTTTGGCGGAATGCCCAACTGCGCGGCCTCCCTGGAGTGGAGTGCGGACAGCGCGGCCGTGTTCGCATTGCTGCTGGTGGGTACGGGTTACACCCGGGAGGAGGGGAGGGGGGGCAGGAAGGGGAGGCGGGGGGAGGGAAGGAGGGAAGGGGGGGAGGAAAGGAGGGAAGGGGGCGAGGAAGACGAAAGGGGGAGGGAAGGGGAGGAGGGAGCTCCGTATGGCGGCAGGACAGGTTACCAAACGAGGTGTGGCGTGAGCCTGAGGGGGCGGCTTGTGCCCCTTAGCCCCTGGGAAGGACACGTATGCACACACGGCTACATACACGAGCCTTTCTACAGCTAAAATCAAAATTTCAGAACAGAGTTTTTTCCTACCGCTGCCGCGGGACTTTGCGAACACAGACCCCCCGAACCCACGAACCGTACAAGCTCGTCCGTTGCAAGCTGTTACCCAACGGGGGGGCCCGCCAGGATCCGGAGCTGCTGCTTCAGGTACGGTAGAATGTTCTCGTGTACGGAAGGGTTGTCCTGTCCGGCATGTATACGAGCAAGTACGGAAGGGTACGGTTTTCATGGTTTCATGTTGGGAAAGCAAACCATTGTGGGATGTGTCAACCTGAAACGACAAAAAAAAGTTTTTACTGCCGTTCTGCCACCCTCCCTGCAAGACACTGTTTCGATACCCTTTATACCCACAAGACAACATGCCGTACACACCGGAGAGCCACTTTCCAACAGATTACGCAACAGTTTATCCTAGTAAAAAGGTTTATGGATGTACGGATGTACGGATATGCGTAGGACGACAAGCCGGGCGCCGTACTGGAGATGGCTGGGATGACGTCCTGTGGCCGGTTCCTGATGTTGTTTCGGAAGGCTGAGGTGGGTTGGGGCCGTCCTGGAGGACATGGGGGGACATTTCGAGCAGCCGTCTACCTCATGTCGTGGTAGACCTATCGCGAGAGGGTCGTTGCGCCGTCATTGACATTTTCCGTACCTGTTTCCGTAATGCCGTACAGGCCACGTACTGAAGAACCGCCGCACTAAAACCTGGATTGTAATCAGCTGCATTAACATTAGGTTCTAACGAACTGCCGTACTCGATGCAGGGCTACTCAGCCCTGCTCGCACTGACGATGCCGTTAGAGGGCCCGTCGGCTCCAGCTGTGGCGGTGCAGCCGCCTAGCCGAGGCGTGCCCAAGGGGGTCAGACTGTATGGCAACGACCCGTGGGTCGTTGTGGCACCCGAGTCGGATGCATGTGACATACTGCGCGCCGATCACTTGTACGGCAACGGCGACGGCAAGGAGACGTTTGCCGTACTTATGGATACGGATAAGTACCCTGATGGTCACGTGTGTGCCGTGACGGCAGGCGACCTGAAACGCCGTACGGTGAGTACTACAGAGTGCTGTTTATTTCCAGCAGCCGCTGATTGAAACGCCCTTGTGTAGGACAACCCTCGTCTATCATACCGTTCACAGACGCTCACACAAGAAAGAACGGAATAATCCGCAATAAAGTAAAATACCTCTTAACATACGCGGGGAGGTGTGTCCTCGCACCTTGCCAGAACTTCGTGAGATGATGTCCGCTAAACACCTCACGGATCTGGGGCACGAAACACCAAAACGGAATATACACATATCCACCAAGATTTTGACTAAAGGAATTACGGTAAAATGGACGTGGCGCTAAAATGATGTGACATAGCAATCCATCCATCCATCCATCCATCCATCCCACACAACGGCGCCACCCCCAGGTGCTAGTCCCAGGCAAGAGCGGCTGTCAAGTGGTTGATATTGCCGTATGTGGCGAATGCGGAAGCAGCCTGAAGGGTGCTGACGCAGCTGGGGCCGGCGGCGCCGCCGCCAACGGTGCCGGCCACAGCGATAGTGGTGCCGCCGCCAAGGGGGATGTCAAAGGCGGTCGTTACCTTGTCGTACATATGCTGGAGGACATGAGGGCCGATGTGAAGGTGTACGACCTGTCATCCGTACAGCAGTGGGTGGCGGTACGGGAGTCGGATCGGGGCCGGCGGCAGCAGGAGCGACGGCGGGTGCAGCGTGCGGCGGCGGCCGCGGCGGCGGCTGTGGTGGAAAAGGACGTCGACGTTTCCGGCGATGACGAAGAGGACGACGACGATTACGATGACGAGGCTGAGGAGGGAAAGGAGGAAGTGGAGGAGCTGGAACATTTGAAGTCGGAACAGCAGCACCAACAGCAGCACCAACAGCAGCAGCAGCAGCAGCAGCAACGGCGGTGGAATCTGGTGGGTTCATCAGGAATAATCTGTACGACTAGCTTACCGCGTGGTGTGTATGTGTATGTTTATGTGTATGTATGTGTGTGTATGTGTATGTGTGTGTGTCTCATCAGCGCCGCGTTTGGGCGATGTGGTTTCATAGGGGCTGTAAGGTTCCAGTTCCATCACTGGATCACATGACGTTAAAAAGATGGATGATGGCAGTGTTTTTGTCGGGGCGGGGTCAGGGCCACGGGTTCGAGTCCCGTCACTCTCGCCACGCGGCCTGGGACTTGTGGGCCTTGAAAACCCCCTCAACCCGGCCGTACCACCACCACCCTCCACACGGCCCCCCACCGGGCTTTGGGGGGCTGGGCTTCCGAAGGTAATTATGGGCAGCTGCATAAGTGCTTTGGACGCCAGCAACTGTGCTTCAGACGTCGGCAGTTGGCTTTTGGTTTCTTGTAACTAATAACCACCCACCCGCACCCAAACTACCGTTAACCCATTTCTGTTTCCTAAACAGGCACCTGCGGGTTTGCTTCCATTGCTCTGGACCTTCTCCCCTGGCGAGGCCATCTCCAGCCTGCACATCGACCATAACTGCTGGCCAGGCACCATGCCGTACGTACGGGTGTCGTACAGCAACCTGACTACGCCCATCACCACGGTGGACCTGGACCTAGCTGCGCATCAGCATTTCGTACGGGAGGTACGAACGTACGATCGTGTAGGACTTGTGTATGCCCCTGGAGGTGTGCAATTGCAAAAACGAATTTAATGATGGCGCCATTTCTTTTCCAACCTCCTCCGCCCAAAGAACGGTTACGCATGTAACCGCCAACGATCACCGACCAACGACCAATAAAAAACCAACATCAAACTACGCGCCTACGAACCCCAACTCTCTGGAAATGTCAGGTGGAGCGAGTTCGCAATTTCGCCACAGACTGCTACTTGAGCCAGACGCTCTGGGCAACCTCCTATGACGGCACCGCCGTCCCGGCCACCGTCGCCTGCCGTACAGACGCCTGGCCGCCAACCACCGGCCGGCCATTGCCCTGCATCGTCCAAGCATACGGCGCGTACGGCAGGAAGCTGCTTCCCGATTTCATTCCCGGCGACTTGGCCATCCTTGATGGCGGCGGCGCCGCCTCCCCTGCCGCCGCCGCCGCCGCCGCTGATGGCTGTGGGCTGTGCTTGATGGTGATTGCACACGCCCGCGGCGGCGGGGAGCTGGGAGCTCACTGGCATCTGCAGGGCAAGAAACACAATAAGATCAACACGGCTGAGGACATCGCGGCGGTGGTGCGGATGTTGGTGGAGGGCGGCTACGTGCGACCAGATGCGGTGGCGCTGTGGGGCCGGTCGGCAGGTATGGCACGGACGGGAAAAACCTGGGTTGATTGAAGTTGGTTAGAGTTTGGTTGGCGGGCGGTTAAAGGTCGCGCGGCTGAGGACATACGGCTGCTTACATCTACACCTTGTATAAAAGAAACGGTGTTGCTGCTTAAGAGGAACACACACACACACACACACACACACACACACACACACACGATCTGCTGTTGTAGTGTGGTGGTGATGGTGGTATTGTAGAAGATAGTTCTTGTGCCCTTCCTACCCACCCCACCCACCCCGTTCGTCTCTCCCCCCCTTCTCACGTGTGTTTGAAGGTGGTCCTTGACCTCGTGTTAGGATGACCACCGGTCTCCTTTTCCCCCCCACCTGCTCGCACCCCCCCCCATCCACCGCAGGCGGCCTGGCCATGGGGATGACCCTGGAGCGCTGTCCGGCAGGAACCTTCCGTACTGCCGTCCTTGACGTACCTTTTCTGGACGTGCTTGGATCCATGATGGACACTTCCTTGCCGTTGACGGTCAAAGAACAACCGGAGTGGGGCGACCCCGCGTCGTCGCAGGTGATGGGGCGGGAGCTCTAGAACCCGAGGCGTTCTAAAAGATACAGACGGAATTATAGGTGCTACGGGCTAAGGGCTACGGTCTTAGGGCGATCTAAGGACTAAGGGCTATAGGCGCTACGGGCTAATGGTGCATGCGGGCCAACATTTCAGTATGTGGAGCTCGGCGTCTGCAGAGCCGCATATTGTAGCCGTACAGAGACATCTTGTTCGTACATCTCCGGCGTGCGCAGGAGGACTACGATTACATCCTGTCGTACTCACCGTACGACATGGTCGAGTCCCTCGCGAGCAAGACCCCCGCCGTAATCGTCACGTGCAGTCTCAATGACCCTCGAGTGCCGTACTGGGGCCCGGCTAAATTTGTAGCGCGGCTGCGCGCCGCCATGGCGGCGGAGGCGGCGGCCGCCGCTGGCGCTGGCGCCGCCGCTGCCGTCGGGCCGGTGCTGCTGCTGACGGAGCTCGACGCCGGCGGCCACTTCGCCGCGAGTGGCGCAAGCGGTCGTCTGGCGGAGCGGGCGATGCGTGTGGCGTTCATGCTGAGGGAGCTAAAGAAGGGAATGGATGCGACGGCGGTGCCGTTGACCCCAGCCGGCCAAGTCGGCCGCTGAGTATGGCCATGGCTGCCAAACAGTGAAGCGGCCATATCAATTCACGCCGCGCGCATCGAGCATCGCATTTTTCCCTGCCGTACGTTATTGCTTTTGCGATTTTCATCACCATTATTATTTAACAGTATCAACATTGTGGTGGGTTGGATCTTGGATGGCAGTAATGGATTTTTAAACCCTAAGTTGGTTAGCTGATGGGTGAGTGGGTTGGATCGGATTAGGCATTGCTAGGGCGGAGTGTTTGGATGGAAGTGCAAAACGTGCGCCAATACTGTGTGCTGTGCCGTACAACACCGTGACCTAGTTTATTTTTTCTTCTTCTGTACATATGCTAAATAGTATATACATGCACATATTTGCACCCGCCTGTTGGCTGCGGCGTAGGAAGTGTTAGTGCCCACCTATATGGAGCTCTAGCTGCTGGGAAACGCAACGCGGTGTACGGTTGTTTGCCGTACCTCCCACACCGCCTTTCCTGTCGTGCCAGTATACTTTGTTCGGGATGGTAACCGCTGCAGGATATGTGCGCGCGCCGGCGGCCGTCATAATGTATTTTCCTTTTTTTTCTGCTTGACGCAAATGAAGTTGTGCCATTGATACTTACTGGGAGGCGATGTTCGTATTTGTTCTTGTGTCTTACTCATTATTGCATAAAACCCTTGAGCCCTGAAGCACGATATAGACCTAGCCTTCTTAGGGGACATGGTTTCTTTATGACAGCACTTTTCTGTATGAAATGCTGTTGTCTGTCGACGGGTGCGAAGAGGCTAATTGCGGCTGCAACGAGATGTCTCCAATGTATGTGTGTATGTATGTGTGTGTTACATGGTCGTGGGTGCGTTTCCCGTACCTGCAAAACGCCCAATGCGAGCCGAGGGCTCAAGGGCTCTATAAGCACCGTCCTATCTCGCACTCCAGACAAAGCATGTGAAGGTTACTAACGACCAAAGGAAACGGTAGAGTTGCGGTGGGACCACATACGTTCCAGCATCCTTGCCAGACGTTCAGGTTCCCACTTCATAGCGTCCTTCATATGCTCGAAGCGTCTCCAATGAGCGCCACGCGAGATGATCCCATGACGGCGAAATGGCTGGTTGTTACGAGGTGCCTGTAACGTCAGCAAAGAGATCATAAACAAACAACCGGAACACCGGAGCTGGGGAAGGGGAAGGGGTGGCCCTAGGGCTATCGCTGTTGTGATGCTTACCGGCGATACCAGGGAGCAGGGCATCTACTGGGGTTTACTGGGTTTTAGGGTGCATTTCCAGTGCGGATTAAGGCCAGGATTAACCCTCTGTCCTTTATCGATACTTGCGCAAACGGCTAAGTTGTTGGCAAACTTACCTCGCGTTTTCAACCTTTGGTTCCCTTACGGAACGAAACTATGTGGTAAGCTCGTACCAAGGATTTCGGTGCCCTAATCCCTGGCCTTAATCCGCACTGGAAATGCACCCTAAGGAAGGTGTATGGAATGGAGGTTTGAGGATCCTAATTAGGCCATGGTGTTAGCGCGCCGATCGACCTGGTCTTCGGCCGGGCGGCTGGGAAACTAATTGCCAGGAATTTTCCGTAACAATAAATAACTAAATGTAGACCTCGATGGATGAGACCGGTGTCAAGACAAATGCATGTTTGCCCGGGCTTGGTATCGCTTTGCCTGTTGACCGGAGCTGCAGTTGGTATAAAACAGATATCGACTGCGGTGCTGGTTTGGAGAATACCGCGCTGGTGGGAAAGCGGTTGCAACCGTTTCGCAACAGCAACAGCAGCAGCAGCAGCAGCACACATCGCCTTCGTTGCGATTGCCACCACCTCCACAATGGCAGCAAGGGGGTCCAGGGCGCCTGCAGCACCAACCATTACATCAACGTCATCACCCTTGGTGGCATGGGACGCAGCAGCCTCGCAGCCGGGACCAAGGTCAGGGCCGCGGCTTTCATGTACCAGCAGATCAAGTCAGGGATGAATACCTTCGCTTTCCTGATTACTCCACCACCGCATTTAAGGTCGAAATTGATCGCCGGCTCCGGCCTGTGGTCCTTGCCGTACACAAAAGAGAGGATTGCCCTCTGCCCCTCGTGGGCCTGACGAAGCCCCGCCATGGTACGAGTGCTGGAGACGCCGCCGCCGCCGGTGGCCATGGCGGCGGCGGGAGTGGAGAGCGTGCGCATCGCCAACGGGAGACGCATATTGTACGAGGACGGGAAGATGCACCTCAAAGTATGATTGACTTCATCTTCGCGAAGAATATGCCGGCGGTGGGAGTGATGGCCAGTCCGCTGGCGAGCAGTCGTGGCGATGGTGACGGATGCGGCGGCAGCAGCAGCAGCGGTGGCGGTGATGCGGCGCCAGTGTTGCCTCCGCCGGCACCACTGATTATCCTCGCGAATGAGGGTGCCTGGCGTGATAGCCGCGTCATCCACCTCAAGGCGCCGGTCAGCAACGTAACCGAGTATTTACGAGTGCTCCGTATGCAGCTTGCAAAGCATCGATTCTTTATGACCACCCATGGCAACGACACTGAAATGATCAAAAATGATCTCCACAAGCGTCACACCGAATTTACTGCCAACTACTCGACACCTTGCCTGCAATCCATCATCTCAAACTTCAGTCCCCTCCCTGACGCTCAGGACCTGCTCGAGTCCCGGTCGGAGCTGTTTTTTCGGGTCCCGGACGAGAAGCGCAAGCTTGGGGCCGTGTGGTACGGCTGCCGCCAGCTGCCCCGGCTAGTGGCGACCCTGCCTGGCCGTTCAGTGAACGGGCTGAGCTTGGAAGAGGCGCTGGAGTGCATGGAGACTCTGTGGGGCTCGGAACTGAGGAATGGGTTGTTTGAGTCCATCAAGGGGGAGAAAAATACTGCGGGACTGGCCTGGGCGCTTGTGCCCTGCTTCGCCTGATTGTGTGAGCACGCGATTTAGCTGTCACTGAACGAGTTTAACGGGGTGAGATCGGTATGACCTCAGGGGATGTGGATTTGTGCTCAAGGATGTTTGGGTAACCGCTTGGTGTAACCCGCATAACAATCACTTTATGTCATTGGGTCGAAAAGAAACCGTTTTTGTTGAGGAAGGATCCAATGTGGATATTTACAGGGAGCCTAGATCGAAGATGACGACTCGACGACTTGCAATTGGCGATGGCGGTAGAGATGTTTTTTGGGGTTCTAGATCGTCCCTTTTTTAAGTACGGAAATGGCTCATGTCAAGTCACATAAATGTATAGTGTAGAGGTGTTCCAGTTCTTCATGCGATCGCAGACGCACACTCGCGCGCACAAGCAGCAAGCAATAAGCACAAACCAGGGCAAGAGGTGCACGGCTGTAACGCAGGATTACGCATTTGCCAACGGCGCCTCAACCTAGTTCCTGGTCAGCTCGCAAGTTGATATTATCACGTCCTACACCGTCCACAAGATGGGGGGCCACCTCCCATTTCAGCACCTCTTAATCACCAGAGAGGTCGGCAGGTAAATTTGAACCCAGGTCGCCCGGGGACAGAAGCCAGGCCTTAACCTCTGCCAGCCGCCTGCCATCTGTATGCTTCCCTTTTCCTTGCATTTATTGCGGCCCCCTATGCTAATTATGTACAACGCACCTTCCCTCGGACGATAACATTTCGTGAATTGTACCCACGAACATTACGAAAAACACATTTGGCGCTCCCACATGCCTCCACCTGCAATCCAATCGCGCCTGCTCAACCTTCATATGCCCTATTCACGCGGTTAGCAAGTTTGCTTTACAGCCATCTCCCGTCCTCCGCTGACTGACATCGGACTGTACATAACCATCAACACCACCCTCTCCTGTCAGGTTACCCCACAAATGTGTGGCGCTATAAGTTACGAGGCAGCCCTCGAACAAATCCGAAGACAAACTCGATAACGGCTGGCCTGGCCTGGTCTGAAATTCGGTGCCGCAATTATTACCCGTTCACCCAGAGCTCCAGCCCCCAACCCACGACACTCGCACGTGGTTCTTATATCACGCGAAGCAGGGCACAAGCGCCCAGGCCAGTCCCGCAGTATTTTTCTCCCCCTCGATGGACTCAAACAACCTCCTCTTCAGTTCCGAGTTCCACAGAGCCTCCATGCACTCCAGCGCCTCCTCCAAGCTCAGCCCGTTCACTGAACGGCCAGGCAGGGTCGCCACTAGCCGGGGCAGCTGGCGGCAGCCGTACCACACGGCCCCAAGCTGCTCACTCCCAGACAGCTGGCCCGTCTCGTCCGGGACCCGAAAAAACAGCTCCGACCGGGACTCGAGCAGGTCCTGAGCTTCAGGGAGGCGGCTGAAGTTTGAGATGATGGATTGCAGGCAAGGTGTCGAGTAGTTCGCAGTAAGTCCGGCGTGATGGTCGCAGAGAACATTTGTGATGATGTCAGTGTCATTGCCGTGGTTAGTCATAATGAAGCCATGCTCTCCAAGCTGCGTACGGAGCACTCGTAAATACTCGGTTACCTTGCTGACCGGCGCCTTGAGGTGGATGACGCGGCTATCACGCCAGGCACCCTCATTCGCGAGGATAATCAGTGGTGCCGGCGGAGGCAACACTGGCGCCGCATCACCGCCACCGCTGCTGCTGCTGCCGCCGCATCCGTCACCATCGCCACGACTGCCCGCCAGCGGACTGGCCATCACTCCCACCGCCGACATATTCTTCGCGAAGATGAAGTCCATCATCCTTTGAAGTGCATCTTCCAGTCCTCGTACAATATGCGTCTCCCGTTGGCGATGCGCACGCTCTCCACTCCCGCCGCCGCCATGGCCACCGGCGGCGGCGGCGTCTCCAGCACTCGTACCATGGCGGGGCTTCGTCAGGCCCACGAGGGGCAGAGGGCAATCCTCTCTTTTGTGTACGGCAAGGACCACAGGCCGGAGCCGGCGATCAATTTCGACCTTAAATGCGGTGGTGGAGTAATCAGGAAAGCGAAGGTATTCATCCCTGACTTGATCTGCTGGTACATGAAAGCCGCGGCCCTGACCTTGGCCCCGGCTGCGAGGCTGCTGCGTCCCACGCCACCAAGGGTGATGACGTTGATGTAATGGTTGGTGCTGCAGGCGCCCTGGACCCCCTTGCTGCCATTGTGGAGGTGGTGGCAATCGCAACGAAGGCGATGTGTGCTGCTGCTGCTGCTGTTGCTGTTGCGGCGGTAGCTGTTGTTCCTGTGGTTGATGCGACTGCACCGGTTGTAGCGGCAGTGGCTGCGGCATCGAATGTGGCTGCTGCTGCGGCGCCTCCTGTGGTGGCGGGGGGAGGGGCGGGGGCGGCTGTCCACCCTCCTGTGCCACAGTTATCCGGTCGACCCGAGGGGAATGGTACTTGAAGCCCGACAAGTCAGCATCTTGTCTGAATAACCTTTGGTAGGTCGCCTCGTGGAAGGATACGATGAGCTGGAAGGAGGCGATACGGGGGGATTTCTCCAGTTGCGCTGAGGGACCCGCGGGTGCGGCGGCAACGGCGATTGCTGCAGTTCGATCCGCAGCATACATGGGTGCCGTGTCCATGGTAGCGGACAGCCGCCAGATTTGGACGTGTAAGATGCAGCGAGACAAAGCAGCTGTGGTACGTCCTTAGTAGAGTGGCTTTGGAAGGCTGTCCGTGGAGGGCGGTCCTGCAAACAAGGCACACCGCGGCGCTTTGCTGTAATAGAGGGTTCGAAGCAGTAACCTTGCCTAATTATAGATAGAGGATATAAAAACATAAATTCATGGCCTGCGTGTGAGAAAGGTAGGAGAGCAAGGATCCGAATACCTGAAGGGAAGTCCGAACGGCAAACTGGATATCCTACCTTGCGACTTAACTCATAAGGCAAGGAAACATTTAGTGATTTATCAAAAATTTCAAATAGCCTTATCTCTAAACATCTTAAATGCTGTCTCTAAAAGTGACTTCACGGGTGGGATGCCGATCCTCGGCACGGGTCAAGGTGGACGTGCGACAGTTTCAAATAAAAGGACTTGCCATCAATCCATGCAGAATATAGAGAGATAACTATAAAGAATATATGATTTCTTTTTATTAAGCGATGCCTAAGGACCCAGCAAGGTCTCGGGCGGACAGAGACAGGTACTATGAACATATGGATTTACCAGGAGCAGGAACTAAAACCTGCAAGGTAGGAAGCTCCACGCAAGAAACATACATCACACACACCGGCCGCACGCCATAAACACAACAATACCGAAACACAAAAGGGCCCACCAGGAAAAAGCAACACGGCCACCGCACAACCGAATCCAAGTGTGTATGGGTTGCTAAAAGTGTAAGGCTTGTGTAAAAGTGTAAGGCTTGGCTAGGCGTCGCCTGATCCCCAGGGATCCCCTGTCCGCTGGGACGTTCCTCACCGTTGACGGTCAAAGAACAACCGGAGTGGGGCGACCCCGCGTCATCGCAGGTCATCATGGGGCGGGAGCTCAAGGACAGGAGACGTCCTATGGGGTGTTAAGAGATACTGATAGAATTATATAGGTGCTACGGGCTTGTGGTGTATGCGGGCCAACATTTCAGTATGCAGGACTCGGCGTCTGTGGAGCCGCATATTGTAGCCGTACAGAGACCTCTTGCTCGTACATCTCCGGCGTGCGCAGGAGGACTACGATTACATCCTGTCGTACTCACCGTACGACATGGTCGAGTCCCTCGCGAGCATGACCCCCGCCGTAATCGTCACGTGCAGTCTCAATGACCCTCGAGTGCCGTACTGGGGCCCGGCTAAATTTGTGCTGCCACTTGAACGTGCAGACTGAGCGAGCAGTCAACCACAATTACATTCATGCGTCGTGGCAATGTTTTCTTGATATGGCAACGGACAAGTACTGTTGACAAGCACTGTTCATGCGTCTTCATACATGCAGTCGTTAGCAGGCCAACTGCACCCTCGTCAGTCATAGCACATCCTCGACACTGCTGGCAGCAGCCTGGAGTGCTACCAGAGAAAGGTACCCATGCAAGCGCACAACATACGGCACTGCTGTACACCAAACACTGAGTGCAATCCGCTGCCACTTGAACGTGCAGACTGAGCGAGCAGTCAACTACAATTACATTCATGTATGATACTCATGACCTTGTAGAAGCTGGAGTACGTAAGTATGACGCACCCCGTGTGGACAGCAAGCGCGTCTCCATACTGTTGTATGCAGACGATGTTAGTCTGCTAGCGACGTCACTAGAGCGAATGTCTGAGTTGCTACATATTGTGGACTTGTTTTGTGAAGCTTTTGGGATGCGACCAAATATCTCAAAGTGTGAAAGGCTTGTTTTTGCATGTGATGGCACCCAGTAGTCGGAACTTAGCGAGAGATGTCAACAGTTACGGCTATCAGGCCAGGTAGTACCTGCCAAAGATAGCGCTCGCTATCTGGAGTTGGTATATGGGCCAGAACGGCCTTTTAGTGCGTGCCGTCAGCAGTTATGTGATACAGGTCGGTCCGCTATGTTTTCCTTAAGCGCAAAGTTGGACAAAATGAAGCTGTTTCAAAGTTGCCCCCGACGTGCGAATGCGGTGCTTTGCAACCCAAGTCCGAGCAATTCTGTTGTATGGCTGCCAGGCGTGGGGCCCTTTTGCGCTGGCAGAGGTCGTGGACAGGGTGGGAAGGCGGCGGGATAAAGCCAACCTTGCGAAGGGCATGTTCGAAGCCTGTTTGAAGGATAGCGCAGTCCAGCTGCAGATTTTATTCATGAGGCAGGTAGTGGGGACGGCACGGGCCCAAAGCAAGCAACCGCATAGCAAATCAAAGGCCGTCACCCGCCACTGCAAACCACAGCACACTAGGACTCTACCGGTTCCTCATGTACCGGCCCCTGCTGCTGCTGTCCAGCCACTTCCTCAGTGCGTCAAGGAACGGGAACGTGCCCAGGTCGAACAGGTCCTGAGTAAACATTCGCACACACAATGCTAGGTGCTCGTCCAGGCGGTTGCAGGTGGGGTCCTGCAAGTACCCCATGGCCGAGAACACCTCATATCTATTCTATGATTGATAATACTAAGTTCTGCACACTACGGAGCAATCTGGCAGCAATGGACGTTTTTGGCTGGAGGAATGAAAATGTAGGGATCGGCCTCAATTCATTCCGTTTTTCCGAAGGCCAAAATGGCCTGTTTATTTCTTTTAAGGGATATATTAATTAAAAAAAACACTGGGCACGGCCATCCCACAGGCTGTTGTATGCGGAGCTGGCTGGACTCCCCTTACAATATTACATGGTGAAGCAGATCCTCCGTTTCTGGAACCGCCTTCAAAAGCAAGTGGGATCCATTGCTCATGCAATTTTACGGCAGGAGATAACCGATGCCCTGACCAACCCGGAATGGGAGGATTGGGGAATCTCAATGTTACGACTGTTTTCCTTCTTGTAGTGCAACATTTGGAGCGGAATACCGCAAGAAGTCGTGGGGGTAAAGGAGCGTGTTGATTGGTTGTTTGAGTAGGCCTCTACCCGAAGGAGCGATGATAACGGCACTAAGAGAGCGTTTGATGAGCGGCTGTTGCTGTTACCTGTTGCTGATCCCCAGGGATCCCCTCTCTGCTGGGACGTTGCCGCTGCAGTGGTTCATAGCAAAGCGCTTCGCTCTATCAGGGAAATGAAAATACGTAATGATGAACCACATTCTGTTTGTTGTGTCGTACGCGTAACCATATCGCTGGGGTCGTTCGTTCCCGGAGCCTGGGCTGACCTGGGCAGAGGCCTCAAAAAGCCGGAGGGGCCCCTCGCGTATCCCCCAATCCACGAACCAGATGTGCAGCGGTTCGCTTCAACGCAGTTTATAACCGCGTGGGCGAGCGATAGCAGGAAATTGAGAGCTCCAGAGAAAAGCGCAACCGGACGACCCGACCCGACTTCTGGGAGGTGCCGCAATCATCCAGTTTTGCATCGGTAGCTGGTACACACGACTAGCTGTGGGATTGGTTTCGGGGGTACGGCACGCACCCTTTTTGCCGTGTCTTATGCACCAGTCGCCTGAAAGGCATCCCAAGTCAACGCAGCAGCAGCAGCAGCAGCACACCCCTTGCTGTTAAGAAGACCTACCTCAGCCTGTCGCAGGTGACATTTATAAAACCTCGTCTATGCTGGCCGTGCGCTTTCCCAACAGCCCCCGAACGCACTATTCATGCCACCACCGGTATCAGTGCTGTGAAGGCTCAGCTAGAAAGTACAAACCAGGCGTAAAAGTCCTTGTGAGCGTCGCTATACTTCAGAACTTCTGGAACTTAGTCCAAATAGAGCGATGGGCCGCTAACAGCGCTGTCAGCCACCTGCCTCCCTACGCTTCTAGTAACTTGTCCGGTCCGGACCCTGCACTACTGTCCTCCTCGCCTGCATCCCATCCACCCTGCGGTGCCAGTTCTTGCCTCCGCGAATGGGGCAAATGGCAAATCACGGCACATGCACACAAAAGCACGAGTTTTCGAAGACAATTATCCGTGTTTCGAAGACATTACTTTTTCCCCTTCCGTCTCCTCCCGTTTCCGCGCTACCCCCTGCATGCACCGCTCCCTTAACACAGCTCCCCACAGGTCCACACACGCACTCCCATTCCCGTTCATCCAAGCCATCACGTGATTCACCACGCGGTATCGGCAAGCCCTTGGAAAACAAGGCCACAACTCAATAACTTGCACCAAGTTCGCCTCACGACTTCACATTTGTGCCGCCTTGCTGTCTGCCGTTGAGCAAGCCCTTTCACGAGCCTGGCTTCATCGCTTTATATCCGTCCGTGGTTAACCAAGGCCAGCCAAGGGAAAGGCAAAGAAACAGACGCTAGGTAGGAGGCGCATACCTCCTCTCCCCAATCTCTATCCCCACAAGAGCCACTGGCGAGCGTCTTTGCAGACGAGTAAGACCGTGAAGCACCCGAGGGGAAGGTAGCGTTGGATGGTAGGGCGAATGGAAAGAGCCCGCGATAAAGGAGGTGCTGTGGCCATGGCGACGCCCTGCGAGCTGGCTGCCTGGCTGGGCATCTTAGCCCATCTCACCTTCGCCTGCTGCGGGAGAGGGACAAAGAGGCATTTTAGCGGCACAAGGGGGCCCTGCATACACGCACATGCAGCAACATAATAACGGGGTTGACCGTGATGCTTCTGCTTCTGCTGATGGTGGTGACATTGGCAAGATATGACGAAGGCCAGAACAGAAGCCTCGGTCTTCATCCCGCCTTGTCTCTACTCACACGTGCCTCCACAAACGAACCTCCCACATACACGGGAACACACACACACACACACACACACACACACACACACACCAGCTCCATCCTGCTCCCCACCTGCCCCACTCCCATCCCGGTATCCCCCTGCCCTCTGCTCCTACCTCTTCGGACGCCCCGGCGCCCGCTCGCCACGGGTCCCTGACCCGCTGGGTCCCTCCAAAGCCCCCATCCCAATGCCGCCTAGTCCCCCGATGCGATCCTCCTCCATCATGTCCAACTCCTCCAGAGGACCCATGCCCTCCGCTGTGCGAGCCTCAGCCTAACCAGAGGAACGCGTTAAGATAGGGCCCTTGGAGGGTTAGCAGGGAAAAGCAGGCTTAGGAGAAAGGCCTTACTGCAGGCGGAGTGAGTTAAGATGGCCAGAGCGCACAAGAGCCCTTTTCAAGGGCCACGCAGCGCACACACGTCCTTATGCAGCTACCCTAAGCATGCAAGTAACCATCTCTCGTTTACAACCCCATGCACAGCCCCAAGATCCTGACGTGCAGCCCCAAAACCCCTGCCACACCAAACCATTGCACCCATCCGGAGCAGGGCCCGAAAAACGAGGTTTGACGAGCGCTGATTCAAAGCCGCCTTGCGTCCCAGCAAAAGCCCACCTTGATGGCTCGTTTCACCTCCTCAATGCGCGCCTCTAGCTCCTCTCGGTGCTGTCGAGCCGCATCACTGGTCGCGGTCGCATACGACACTCGTCCTTCAATGGCTCTCAGCAGCTCATCTCCCGCAGCAATCCTGCAAAATAAGCGGAACGACATGCTGAACACACCGAGGTCAAGAAAGAGACATCCGGACATGGAGGACACCCAATCAGCGGGGGGCCCCAGACCGTGTAGGGCGCAACAGCATTGCATACCGTATGGACATGGAAACGGAACATAGCATGACGCATGAGGCACGTGGGGCAGACAATACGCATTGGGGAAAAGGGTCCCCGGTTAGGGGATTCCGGAAATGTAGACAGACAGAAGCCTTGTAGAGGACGACGCGACGGGAGCAGAGCCGGCCCCACTATGGGCCGTACGCCACCCCCAGGGTCCTTCCCCTTACCATCTGGCCATTCGCTGGATGAGGTCAGGCAGCTGCTCCGGTCGCACGTCCCGACCCAATACATCATGCACCTTAGGTGGGAGAGGTCCGAGGCGAGGGTGGAGGGAGGAAGAATGACGTGGCGGCGGGGAAGACACAGAGCATTGAATGGGGACAAAACACTACCGGAGCAGTCCGGGAGTAGTCCGACGCCCAAGTGGCCAGCACTGTCGGCCCGGTCCAGGTCGGCTCGACATCAGGATTTGTTGGGGCCACACCAACGCACCAAGAGCACAGGATGGATAGAGATGACCACCAATTCAAACCAACAATGATGCATGCACTTCAGAAACACCGCGCGCCAAAGCTCTCCGCCCAACTCCCATGAACAATGTAAGCTGTTCAAGTTGGGTCCGGATCCATGAACCTCCTGTCTCAACCTCCCTCCGACCAGCCCGCATCTCCCCCCCCCCCGCCCAGCCACCTGCAAGCAGGCTTGCTTCTGGTCCAGCTTTCCAGCGATTATAACCCCCGTATAGAAGCAGTGATTGATCAGGAAGTCCTCAAGCTCGCGCACGCTGCCGATCTGGAGGGACGCCTGAAGCTGGCTATACGGCAAAACCTGTACAGGTAAACGAAAAAACACGCGAAGCACGACGTGTCAATTCGCCGACGTGCCAAGGTAGCGTGCGCTAGGTGGATGTCAGTCCCCGACAAGGATGGGGACACATGAGGACATACGAGCCAGCACACCAACACACGCTGGAATTGGAGTTGCCGCAAGTCAGGTGCGGATATCCGTTACACCGCAGGTAACCAAGCTCCAGCTCCGAAACCGGCCGGCTTGCGGCCTCCGGCAGATTGCATATTGGGTCACGTTGCACGTTTTGTGCCTACAGTCCCTGTTAGAAGTTTGGGTTGCAGCTTTAGAAGTGTAGGCCTCAGCTCACCAAGCTCGTTCATTACCCGACAGTCAAAGTTTCCCTGTCGTTGTCGGCCCCATGGGATACAGCAACAGGCACCATAGCACTTGCCTTTTGGCTGGCGGCCAATGATGCCACAGTCAGCTGCTTTAGCTTCAGCACCTGCTGTTCCAAAAGCTGCGGAAAGCTCCCCGCGTTCGCTGAACCCGAGTGCCGTTCGGATTGGCAGGTCAGGAGGATGAAGCCAGGGGGATGGATTCGGGCCGAGGAGACAGGGGCGAGGGGGCGGGATCGGAATAGGGACAACGGAAAAGTTCGGCCACCGCGAGCTGACTTCCGAGTGGTGCGATGTTGCGTATCGACGCGTAGGAACCATGGAGGAGACTTCATAAGACGGTGCGATGTGGCATGTTGAGGTGTAAGCAAGCACGCGAAGCACGGTGAAGATTTGGAGGCACATGCGAAATGCGCTGTGACGGGCCTATCTCCCCAACCATACATGTACCCACCCCGCCGCAGCCACCCCAAGGAAACGAATGTTATATACAATTGACGGAGTTCAAGCTGTTCACCTGTTCAGCTATTGGGCATGGCACGACAGGGAGCTATCACTGCCGGGCAGGCTACCAAAGTGTGCGGTGGCATCGTACCTTGGTAATCGGACCACGTGCCAAAAGCAAACAATTGCAGCAGCGCGTAATGCGGGGATAAATCCGTTCCTTGAAGCTGCTTTGACGCCAAGGCGGTTCGGGGACATGGTGCAAGGGGGCAGGGTAAATGGCAATTAATAGACGGGGGCAATACAGCGGGAAGGCAAGTTTAGCCGTATGTTGTGCGCAGCCGAGTTGTGCCACGCGCGTGCGCGTGCGTGAGTCATAATTAAGGAGGGCCCGTTCGGATTGGGCCTTTGCCACCGGGACTCAACTGGCACGCACGCACGGTGGGGGCAATTGTCACCATGATTACGCAAAGCACCGAAAAGGTTCACAGCGGACCTCTTTTATGTTTGGCACATCCAAGAGTTCGCCGAAGCCGAAGACGCCTGGGTCGGCCGTGGCCTTTGCAATGATTTCAGTTAGACCTCGCCCCCGAGCTCCCTTCGCCAAAAGGACGTACTGCTGAATTTTAACCTCCTGATCCATGACAAACCCCCTTTACGGTGGCCACACAACTGCAGGATAGGCTCTCGGCACCAAAGATCTTATCACAGCACCTATGCTCGTGCCTGATTTCAGAGATAGTTAATTTCAGGTGGTAAAATGTGACAGGGTGATTAATCTGGCACTGTTTCGGGGGGATGTTTCGGCCTCAATGCTTGTGATTAAATATTTTGCGAGGATAAGCAAGGCTAGCAAGCATAACTACATTGAATGTTCAAGTTAGAAAGTCAACGTAGTTTAGAAGTTGTTACTGAGCAAGATAGCAACAACAACACCGGGATGTACGGTGTGCGGTCACCGCTAGTTGGGCCGCGAGTTCCAACTTGTTTAGCGTGGTAAACTGTTCTACAGAGATTAGTTGTTTCCCATATCCTAATTCTGGGGTTAGATCTACAACTTCTATTTCCGCACGTCCACCTGCAGCCACCAGTTGTAACACATTTAGCCCTACTGCGGCATGGCAGCGCCTCTTGTTTGCGGCCGCCAAGGCCTAGGGTTCTCGTGCCGACCTCGCTCCAGCCCGAACCCCTTCGCGAGGCCTCAAAATGTTCGGTCGTCGAGGTGCGGCGGGTCGCTATCAGTGACCACACCTGACTGATCAGCGAAGCGGAGTAATACCAGCCTTTTCTATAAAGCATCGCGAGCTTTGGCTTGACGCTACGACCATCTGCGCCGCAGGGCTAGCACCATCGTGCGAGTCACTCAGCAAAGCCCCGACACCAGGACCGTGGTGACGAAGAATACACCTGGAGAACTGCCTCTTCCATGGTCGGAGAAGGATCCTTACAAGTTGCCGCTTAGCATTGAAAAAGTCCAGCGGATGCTTTTTTCGCTTGGTATGCGCTTCGCTTGCTGAGACTGTTCTGCTCTCGCGTCGCGCGGCGCTCTGTATCCATGTCAGCCACCTGTTTGTAGGTTGGGAAAAGCCGTGGATTGAGCAAATTGTGGATCGCATTATGAAGGGGATGCTGCGCACGACGGAGGAGCGAGCGCGCGGAGTGGTAAGCCGCATGGCAACCTTTCTATAAATATGGTGATTAATACAGGCCCTCTTGCCCCACAGATCGATTACCTTGTAAGCGTCGGGCTAAAGCAGGACGAGGTTTGCAACATGGCGTCGATCAGCGTTGTGCTCCTGGGCCTGAATCCGGAGACGCGTTTAAAGACTGTGGTTGAGTACCTCAAGGGGAGAGGCGTTCCGGGTAAGACTGCGCTTGGCCCGTGCTGCGCAAGGGAGCTTCGGGAGGAAACCCGGGAAACACATGGCATTGGAGGATGGAGAATGGGGGTCATTCGGGTAGCACCTTGCGCCACCACGCTACCCTCGCCAGTCGCAGCAACCACCGAGCAATGTGCGTTCCAGCATACATGCTCCCCAACGCCTCCCGCCTCAGCGCCTTTAAGAATGTGCGGCGGCATGCCTAACAGTGACTGCAATCCTGTTACATACCCTTAGACCCATGGCCACTACCTCCCGCCGCATCTGTGCTGCCCTAATGGAACCCAGTTACACAGTAGAACAGTCAATCCATCCATGTAACCTAGTCCAACGCTTTCACCGGAACAGAACTCTGGGACCCATCCCCAAGCACGCTTCTATCTTAAACGTTTTTGCACCATGTTTCCCCCAACTTACTGTTGGGCCCATCCTTCCAGCGACCGGCATTCCCGACCTGGTGCTGAAGCACCCTCGCATCTTTGAGTACCGCGTCACGGAGGATGGCAAGTCGCTGAAGAAGGGCAAGGCGCGCATTCAGGTGGACGTTGTGCCAGTAGGGACCAGCGGGGAAATGGCGGCCGCAGTGAACTACTTCAGGGAGGGGGCATCCTTCCTGGAGGCTCCGGTTTCCCCCGTTGGACCCATGTCGTAGGCGGATTCACGGTGGGCACTGAGAAGCCGAGGTGTGCCGTTAAAGCAGCTCCTGTTCCAGCAGCTCCCGCAGCCGCAGCGGTATGAGAAGAGCATGCTCAGGAAGTTGAGGAGTTGCAGGTCGCCTTAATGTGGGAAGCTATTAATTGAGCAGCAGCGATGGTGGCGGCATGGGGTCCTTCGGGGTTGATTCCTGCCGAGGCGATCACCTTGTTGCTGCCCAACGGCGGGTGAAGTGACTAATGTGGTTAAGGTGGTATACATGTAGAGGGATAGTTAAGAGGGGGAGTATGGTAAGGGAAAGATGCGTTAGGGGTCCTGCGTAGGGGCTCCTGCCAGTAGGGGCTCCTGCCAGTCTCGATGCTGCTGGTTGGCCAGCCCACCATTTAGAGAGGACGGACTTCGTTATGGGGTCTTGTCGCGAGGCTATTGGACAGTTCCGTGGCGGTCTGGCCATGGATGTTACGCTTTCACAAATTGGACAGTAGGCAAGTCATCGCGTGGTTGGCTGATCAGAGTTTATAGCGGTTGGATGGCGACCAGTTGGGAGCAGACATGTCCGGAGGCGGAGGCGGCTACGGCTGCTATGATTCCGATAGTGGCGATGGCGGCAGCAGCAAAGGCGGCAGCGCCGGCCATGCGACTTGTTACTGGCGTTGTATGTAGTCGCAGCTGCAACCGCAGATATTCTCGATGGTTGATGACTGAGGTGGCGTCGTTGGTCCTGTAGTTACTGCGTCTTGGTATGGCGGCGCTTGGTCTGCCGGCGTGTTTGAAGTAACAGGAGTATGCCGACAGCTGCTCTTCGCCTTGCTCTCCAGCATGGTAAAATGAACGCCAACCGTGGCTGGCTCTGGCAAGGCCTGGCGTCGTGGGAGCGCGCTTTTGGTTTCAAAGGGGATGACACATGCACACTGTGGACCGCCGCGGCCCTGGCAAGCTCATGCAGACTTTCGAGTACTATCTTTTGCCGGTTTGGTTGGGAGATGGAATTGTGTAAACGACTTTGTGATTTACCTCAAATCCAGGTGTGCGACTGCAATGTTGATGGGTGAGAGGTTATGGCGGACCGGCCAATAAGGCGGTTGCGGGCTGCCTTCCAAAGGCGCGCCTTCGCCTCGGCCGTGACGTGCGCAACGTTAACGGCGATTTGTAAAGCGTTGGTCACAGAGCGCTACCACCCTGTCCTATCCTGTACCGGTTGCCGTGACGGATTTGGAGAACCATCAGCAGCAAGTCACGAGGGTTGCATCTGGGCAGATGTAGGTTAAGTGGCTGTGGGTATAAGAAATGTGGCTCAGTTGCAATACATCGGCTTGAAATGCATTGGCGCAGTCAGCGTTCATAAGTTTTAGGTTGGAAATTAAATGGCTTGGTAGGCGTCTGCATACGTGTAACTTTGCGATGCAATAATGGTCAACGAATGAAGGATACTTAAAGCGTAATCAATGTTTCACCGGTCACTGCAGAAATGTACTTGTCAACTAGCTAAGCAGCGTGCGTATATGCATGGACAGTTTCTTTAACCACAGGTTTTTCTCATTGGGTGGCGAGCGGTGCGGAGATATCTATTCATATCTCCTCATCCCTCACATCACATCTTATGTTGCTCTACATAGCGCACATCCCCTCAACACACTCATCGCATCACATCGCTTCACTCCTCTCGTCACCTGCCCCACGCAGTCCTCAACATCTTGCCCAGGCCCGCGAACGACCGCACCCTACCCAACCAAGCTTATAAGACGCGAATCCCTGTTGCATGGCCTTGCAACTATATTGCCCCACATGCTCTGAGATGCCGCGCCCTTCTGCTCTACGAGACGAACACGCACGCAAGGATAGAACACTGCATATCAGTACTTATGTCACCGTTAGGGCCCCCCCAGCCAGCCTGCCAACCCTTCACAGACGCAGATCAAAAGCTACACATTCGACACCATCAAGAGGCACCAGGCACACCCTGCAGGTTAGTTGTTTGTTCATACCAATGTGCGGTTAAGGCTGTGATCCCATCCGCCCTGCGTACTATACCCACCCGTCCCTTGGGATGTATGTTTCGGCTAGCAAGCCTGCCTGTCAGTCTGTTGGCCAATAGCCTTTTTTCAACCTTTCCTTCCCATCACTATCGCCCTTTCCTCTTCCTTCCCGTGACTCCTCAAAGCCGTATTTTTGCTTCCCCTCTCCCATGGAGCCGTACTGGGGCGACTCGTCGCGACCAACAACAGCGTACGGCAAGGATCGCTCCACATTCCATGCCGTCACTCCTCCATACACGGACAACCACGAACACACTGGCGACACGCAGCTACAGCCCTCTGCTTATTTGTCCACCTAATTCAGGTACCATGGCTTCGTTACAGCCGCCTTCGCTTAGGAGCTGGGTGCCGCAGCAGCTGCGGCCGAAGCCGAGAAAAAGAGTTCCTTACCCACAGTCAAATCAACCGAGCTCCCGTTGACCCGCACCGTCACCTCCCCCCCCCCCTCTGCCGCTTCTGCCTGCAGCTTAGTAAGGTCCCGTGACGCCAGCACCACTGACACCGCCTCCGCCAGCTCCGCTGAACCGGCGCATGCCGCCAGCAGCGGCGCCGCTGCCGTCGTCGCGGCTGGCGTTGCCAGGATGGCCGTGAATGGCAGCGCTACAGCGGCTGCCGTCGTCGGGCCGTCCTCGCCACTGGCGGCAGCTGTGGAGCTGCCGCTGCCGCCAATCGTCGTACGCTCCGTGGCGATGATAATGGAAGATAGCGGCCGGGACGACGCAGGCAGGACGTTTACGCCCAAAGACTCCCGAAGATAGTCGGCGTGGGAGGCAACGAGGCCGGCAAGCGATGCGGCGGTAGAGACCGGTTCCGGAGCTGGATCGTAAAAGACATCCACCTTGTCAGTGAGCACAAGACCGGCCGACTTTCGAAGCTTCTGGAACCTGCAAGAAACCGAGGAAAGCGATTGGAAGACGGGAGGCCGTTTCGAGATTGCCGTTGGGCCGTTCGCCGTTGGGGTTTGAGGACCAACACAGCCATCGACGCACACAACCAAACTCCAACTAAAAGCCCCCACCTGTTCACCATCTCCCTAGCCAGCCCAGCCGCCACCAAGCTCTCATCCACCCGCAAGTCCAGCACCACCAGCACCTCTCCATCGCCGTTGGCGTCCACGTCCTCGGCGGACACGCCCTCTGGAACTCGGAAGTCACGTAGGACCTGATTGGAGCGACAGAGGCGTGTCCCCCATACCAGGCTATCAGTTTTACAACAATATTCTAGGCACGAAATTTATGGGGAGGGAGGGGAGCGGAAGGCGAAGGGAGGTGAAGATGGCCATGAAGGGTGAGAATGGCGGGAACAGGTCCATAGCACCTAGTCGTCGTGACCTTCAAATGTTCAAATCCATTCAACGCTAAAAAAAACTTCCTATCGGAAATTTCATCGCATCTGCAACGAGCGAGTGACTGTTTGCCAACTATTTTGCCTGGCCAATCGCGCTCTGCTACAGCTGGTTCTAGAATTCGCTGCATACCTTGATCTCGCCTGCCTCGATGACGTGGCCTGCCAGCTCAATAGATCCAGTCTTTTCGTACGACAAGATCTGATCCGCGGTCAGGTCCTTAATCGCATTGGCCACCGCACCCATCGCCTTGCCTAGCCGCTTGCCCAGCACCTGCGTGCAAAATGCAACATGTATGACATCCGTTTCACACCGTTGTCCGTACGGATTAATACAACGTATTTAACCGGACCTATTGACTAATCAGAAGCGAACAAATGATAGGAAGCGTCAAGGTAAACGAAAGGTTAGGGAACCTTGGTAGGTAGAAGGGAAGCATCGCTCATCACGTCAAAGGGTTTAAAAACACCTGTGTTACAGAAAGACCCAGGACGCGGGATTTGTTAAGAAAGCCCACAGTATGGCCCCAAGTTATGGCCAACCCTACCCAGTCCCCACTCTCCCACATGCACACCCACCCACCCACTGACCTGCCAGTCCGGCTGGGCGCGCAAGGAAGCATACTTGAGCGGGTCCGCGCACACCTCCAACGACCGCACGTTGAGCTCGCTCTCCACGTACTCGCGCAACTCGCCTGCGCGTGGGTTTATCAGTGCGTATGTCTAACTGTCTGGAAAAACTAATGGCGAGATGCTAGAAGCGAGAAAAACAACGTCCGCGTTGGAATGTCGCCGGCAGCTTGTCACTTGCCACGTGCGCATATGCAGTCCGGTGACATATTCGCCCCCATTTCCTTCCCACCCATCCCCTCGCACCCACCCTGAATGTCGTCCAAAAAGTCAGTATCAGAGTGCACCACCACCAGCTTTGTGAGCGGGTTCTTGAGGGGCTTGTTGCGCCGCTCGCGAATGGTACGACCCAACTCAATGACGCGCTGGAGGGGTATATCGAATTGTGTGGATCAAATTGGTGAAGGGGCCACAGAGGTAAAATATGAATGTCATCGAGAAAGTGGAAGGGACGAGGTTGAGATTTAAAACGCTGAGCAACCCAAGCTCCGTCTCCTGTCTCTTTCACTAAAACAAAAAAGGACGTGCTGGAAAGGAAAGATCCTCACGCGAGCGGTCTTAGCTTCGAATCCCTTCCTCTCCGTTCCAAGCACCTCATCCCATAAACACATCCCTCAAAACACGCCCCGCCCTTCCTATACCAAGTGGCAGTGTCCAAGAGCCCTCGAATCGCCCAAGCTACTCTACGACCGTCTTCCCCCCCTTGACAGGCTCCGCACGGCGTAGCTCCAACCATCGATATCTCCTAATACTTCCCATACCCTAAATACGCGAGCACATTGTCCGTCCACAGAGCACCAACCCTTCCCCCTTCCCGTCCACGGCGCTGCATACTTCCGCCACCTCAACCCCTTCCGCGTACCTGCATCCGGTCTACGGACTGCTGGATGCGCTCGTCTCCCTCCTCGGAGGCGCGGGCTGAAGGAAAGTCGCACCAGTGCACCGACTCGGGGGACTCCCCGGGGGGCAGCGCCCCGCGCAGGTTCTGATACATCGACTCCGTCAGGAAGGGAGTGAAGGGAGCCATCACCTGGTCCGGGTTTGGAAAGGTTGTTACAGTTGTTAAAGATAATTCAATCGGCTTATTTAGGTGTTAATGTAGTTGAGGAGATGCAGGAGAAGAAGGCCGTAAAGTGGCGAGGGAAGGAAAACTTGAAAAGACACATGGCGCGAGTATGGCTGCCTTTTGGTCAATATGACGAGGGGTGCGGTGCGAAGGTGGAGCAGGAGAATGGAGTTCAAGTAAGCGGTGAAGGAGAAGTACTGATCGACCGAGCCCCAAATTCTGCCAAATTACGCAAAGGGGCGTCGTAGCTGGCCATACGCATAAGCACACGCACACAGGCAAGGGATCCCCAACACAAACAATACACGCAACCCAGCACGGCCACACGCATCCGATCGTGCCGAAGCACAAAGGCATAGTCCTTAGCCAACAGCGGCACACACATGCACGCGCCAAATAAGCGCGCGATTTAAACAACCTGAGTGCCATCGCTAGCTGTTCTCACATACAGCACAAACATCGCACAAAGCTGCTGTCCCAGCACTAAAATCCTAAATCCCACGCACCCCTCTTTGCCAGCCCTCCACCTACCTTGCACACGTCCATCAGCACGTTGTAGAGGCAAGACAGCGCCACCTTGGCATCCTCCTCGCCCTTAGAGCCTTTGAGCCGCTTGCGATTGTAGCGCACGTACACGTTGGTTAAGCTGTCAATAAATTTCACCTGCGGCGGTTTCGGAGCGCAAGTGGAGAGCAAGTGGGAAAAATTACGGCGAAAATTTACTTGCAAATGCGAGCGAACACTACGTTGTCGACAGCAGCCAAGCAACTGTTTATATGTCCAGGTCATTGCGCAGACACATAGCAATCGACATGCAGGTTAGGAAATTAGGAACGGCAACGGAGGAATGCTACCAGCCACCTTCACACACTCCCAAACGAATTCGCACGCGAAACACCCCACGCTCATCACCCCGGACCCCGTCGCGCAGTACGTACCAGGTACGGCACCACGGTGTACAGGCGGTAGGCGCCCATTTCCGCCGTCACGTACGCCGTCAGTGAGCGAGATGCTGCACCAATCCATCGGTCCAAAACGTTGGTGGGCCGTAGCTCGGAGGGAGGGATGGGGCTGAAGCGGGTACCCGCCTCCAACTCCAGCCGCAGGATGTTCTGTAGGGAAAAGAGTTGTTGAGGACACGGAATGCAGAATTTTCTGTACAGGAGGACGAGGACCTGGAAAGACGGAAGGATGACCGCCGGAGAAGTGCATGCGACTCTTGTCGTCCTTCCACAGGTCTTGCGGACTTTGGAACGAGCAAAAGACGCGGTCGGAGTCCAAGCTCAATGGAACCCAGGCTTCTCCTCACCCGCTTCTCCCCTACCCTACCAGCACCTCACCTGCACCAGGAAGCGGTATGCATTATACCATGGGAGGAAAACATCCTTGACCACCGCAAAGACGCCCTCCTCCTTGAACCTGAGCGTCTCTGCCGTGTTGTTATTCACACGAGGGTGAAATTCGGGGGAATTCACTTGCAGTGTTGTTGTATACAGTAGGTAGGAAGACCAAGGCGGGGCATCAGTAAGGCAGGGAGCTAGGGAAGAGGGGCTTGTCGCGGGCCTTACCTGCGCGTACGACGGGCGAGTTGATCAGGTACAGCCGCAGCGCATCAGCACCGTACTTGTCAATCACCTCAGTGGGGTCCTGCGAGATATACAGAGACATGCACTTCAATCGGGTGTATGCCTGTATACATATATGTATGTGTTTTGAAAAGCAGGGCCTGCAGTGCGGGAGGGAAACAGCACCCCCATCCGGAAGAGGTCCCGGAAAAGTTGTTGGACGCAAACCGGTTTGCTGGTGGCTACGGTAGAAAAACGAGTGCGAACGGAAGCAGAGAGAGGAAGCGAGACAGACTAAGGAGGCTGTATAGGTGAACGCAAATCAGAGGTAGGATCCCGGAACTGCCGTGCGACTATCTTGAGCATGCTCCTTGCAATGTCGCAGCACAAGGAGGCCGCGGCTGGACGGGTCACCGCGCCACGGTACTATGAGGCCGCATGCGATGTGGGCGGGGCGGTGAGTTGCGTACCGGACGGGGGAGGACCCGGGAGAACCCCGGGCCACTGGCAGCGACACGGGTCGGGATACGAGGCGGCACATCTAGCACAGCCCCTACCTCGCCACTGCCCCCAACAAAGCCGGCCAAGCCCCGCCCGAGTGCAGGACGTATGGGGCGGATGGTAGTGGGGGCATAGGAGGAAGCAAATCTAACCAACTGTGATGGTACCCAAGGCACATGTGATGCAAGTAAGACACCCGCCAGCAACTTAAAACCTCTTCAACCGTTCACATGGCTTGTAGCTGATTGTGCGAAATATGCTAGTGAAACGTTTTGAACGCAAACAACCAGTAGAGCTAATTGTTCAACGGGTCAGAGGATACTCAGGAAGTAGGATTTCAAAAAAGAAGGTTGCAAACGGCAAAGCCCCATATGCGCGGTGCCCAGGGGTGATGATGCACATACAGTACGTGGTTGCTGGTACATGCCATACTCCCACACGTACCACCACCACACCAGCAGGCTTACCATGCTTTAAACCCAGTCCCCTTGCACCGATAGACCCAAAAGAGAAATTCTCTCAGGAAAAAGAGAACACGCAGACAGAAATATGCAACGGCGGGCAGGGTTACCTGGGGTCCCCGCGCACAGACATCAATCCAGCCAGGCCTGATTCCATACGCCGACCGATGGGTCGTTCCTCAGCGCATAATCGCATCAAGTGCACGTTGCAGTTGCATGCAAGTCCCATTGGTGCTAAGTATATAAAACTTATGCACTTTGTGAATGCCATGCGCGGATGCGACACCTACAGGAGCTTTATTCGGTTCGTTGGTCAACCGGGTTCGGGTGGGGGAAAGCTTGGGCCTCAAAAGCAATTTTGAACGCGTGACGTCCTTCCCTTACAGTTTCCTTTCCCGTGCCTATTTCTTCCGAATATCCTGGCCCCTGTGTCCACTCCTCTCCAAGATTTCAGCAAGCTCAGGTGAATGCAGAGGTGACAGCTGGTTGCAATGTCGCAGCACAAGGAGGCCGTGGCTGGACTGGTCACCGGGCCACGGTACTATGAGGCCGCATGCGATGTGGGCGGGGCGGTGAGTTGCGTACCGGACGGGGGAGGACCCGGGAGAACCCCGGGCCACTGGCAGCGACACGGGTCGAGATACGGGGCGGCACATCTAGCACCGCCCCTATCTCGCCACTGCCCCCAACATAGCCGGCCAAGCCCCGCCCAAGTGCAGGAGGTATGGGAAAGTGCGGGAAGGCAGGCCCGGAGCAGTAGTATGGTTATGGTAGCAGCATGCCCAGGAGTGTGCAGAGCATGGCCGATCAAGGGAGGGAGAATAAAGCACAGTAATAGTGGTGAGATGCCCGAAAGGAGCTTTAAAATCCACCTCCGTCTCCCCATCCCACTCCCTCCCTCCTCTAACCCTAAAAGCCCCTTCCCTCCCCCCCACCCCACCAGGCCAAACCCCCTCACCGGGTAGTTCTTCAGTCGCTTGCTCATCTTTTTACCGTCCGCCGCCAGCACCAGGCCGTTACACACTAGGTGCTTGAAGGCAGGCTTGTCGAACAACGCAGTGGATAGCACCATGAGCGTGTAGAACCAGCCACGAGTCTGGTCCAGACCCTCTGCAGGGTTTCAAGGGGAGTTGCGAAAGGGGCCAGAAGAGGCTCGCACTGGGGGACGATATGCGGACGTGTCAAAGAAGCAACTTCCGATTTTGAAAGCACCCAACGCCAGTTCGCGCTCGGGATGGGGTTTGCAACATCAGATACGTAAAGGGACCGGGTCGTGGTTGATTTCGGGGTGAAAAGGGCTGGCCTCTCTTCTCGCGCGGCTCAGTCTCATAGTTCACTTTCCACACACAGCAACGCGCAGTCTCCATCCACCCATCATACGTGTTGTGGGAAATACGCACACATACACACGCATATACACATTACTTGACGGCATCCCTCCCTCTGGCGCCATCCCCACACGTACCTGCCACGAAGTCCGCGGGGAAGTTGGCTTCAAAGAGCTCCTTATTCTCGAACGGGTAGTGCAACTGACCGTACGGCATGGAGCCACTCTCAAACCAACAGTCAAAAACGTCATCCACCCGGCGCAGGGGCGGCTGGCCGGGGCGCTTCGAGGGAATGGTCAGGTGGTCGATGAAATGGCGGTGAAGGTCCGTTACCTACGCCGCCAGGCAGTGGGACAGAGTGGAGCGGTGCGAAGGTTAAGGAGCGACAAGGCCGGCCCCGTAAGCTCGGGGACGAAGACCCTAAGTCGTCTTCCCTATATATCAGGATCAAAAAGATGCTTGGGATGTTGAAAGGAACTAGGCAGAGCGGGATTGCACGACAGTGATCGAGGAGAAAAACAGATAAGTCATTGGCTGGGCAGCAACACTACATCAGAAATGGGGAACAAACAGCAAAAACACGCTGTTGTCCCACGCCACACACCGACGTCGACGCGCATGGCCCATAAACGCACAGACAACCAAAAATAACGTACTCATTGAGACGACACCAACATCAACACCACATTACAAACACACCTTCTCTCCAGTGAGCTCCTCCAGTTCCGCCTTGGACCTGATGCACACGAGCTCCTCGCCGTCCTCGCTAACCCAGATCGGGATGGGGGTGCCCCAGAAGCGGCTGCGACTGACCGCCCAGTCGTGCGCGTTCTCCAACCAATTGTGGAAGCGCTTCTCCTTCACGTAGCTAGGAACCCAGTATGTCAACTGCGAAAGCGTGCAAGCCCCACAAACAACGTGCCGCGCGTGTGTGTATATGTGTGTATGTGTGTTGTGCGCGGGGTAGGGAATTTTTAAAATATTGGACATCAGGAGAGGAAGCAGACGAAGCTTGGCGAGCGGCGGTGGAATACGTTTAGGGCAGTACGTAGGGAAAACCAAGTAGGAAGATCGTAAGAGCAAAATGCAAAGGGTCTATCTGGAGAGGTCCCACTGCCGACTACAAGAAAGAGGGGCCAGCTTAACGTGGTTTGATTGGTTTTCATGTGGCTCGGTGGCTGTGCGCCGTCAGCCTAGAAAGCGCCATGCGTGTGTGGGGAAAGTTGGCCATCTGTACATAACAACACAGGTCTTTCTCAGCACTCTGCTTCACACCGCTTCGACGTTCCTGCGTACGCAGCTTTGCAGCTTTCCCATAAGCCTCTAGACATGGGAGTTTGGATGATCCCAAATGAAAAATGAACCTCGTGCGATTAAAGTATTCGTCTGGCGGGTGCAGCTTGGTGCAATGTCGCAGCACAAGGAGGCCGTGGCAGGACGGGTCACCGCGCCACGGTACTATGAGGCCGCATGCGATGTGGGCGGGGCGGTGAGTTGCGTACCGGACGGGGGAGGACCCGGGAGAACCCCGGGCCACTGGCAGCGACACGGGTCGGGATACGAGGCGGCACATCTAGCACAGCCCCTACCTCGCCACTGCCCCCAACAAAGCCGGCCAAGCCCCGCCCGAGTGCAGGCAGAAAATATTTGCACGGGTACTTGTCATAAACTATGGTATAATGCGGGGGATATCTATGCAGTAAAATTCAGATTATCCGCTAGTTGCCGCTTCAGTTAAGTTCGCAGGCAATGCCGGCTATTCAGGTAAGAGAGTTCGCTGTACGCAGTGACGTCCCGCACAGATACGCAAAATCATGTAGACGTACGTATGTTGTACGGGACCTCATATGATTGTGACGTCCTCACGCGGAGAACAGAGTCCGCCAGTGCTCTGGCCCCCAGTCCCCCACTCTTACCGTGTTGTTGTGCAGCAGCCGGTCCTTAATCTGCTCCACCTTGACGAACCAGGAGGGCACGGCGCGGTAGATGAGCGGCGTGTCAGATCTCCAGCAGAAGGGGTACGAGTGGGTGATGGCGGAGTTGTCCACCAGGCGACCTGCCTCTTTGATGGCCGCGACGATTTCCTTGTCGGCGTCCTTAACATGGCTGGGAAGAGGGAGATGTGGGGTGGGTGGGTAACAAATGGGTGGCATAGGGAAGGGTGCGTGGGAGACGGCTGCGTCGGGTAGGGGAGTGAAGCTGGCCACATGGATGGTGTGGGTGGAAGAAAAAGGTGCAATAGGCTGCGGATGTGGCATGATGGGGTAGGTGGTGTTCAAGCTGTTTTCTCCGGCTGGGCCACCTTCCGCCCTGCCGGGTTGGGGCACATCTAATAAGACACCACATGGCCTGAATTGGATTGAACCTGCGGTTTTCCTTCTCATGCCCACTTCCTTACATCTTCTACATCTACAACAACGGCTACAAGGATAAACAACAGCTACATCGAGTGCCGCCACCGCTACGAGGGTAGGTGAACTCACAGTCCCTTGAACAGGTGCACCTCCTCCGTGAAGCGGCCGTTGAGGTCCACAGGGCATGGCAGTGAGTCGCCCTTCTCACACACACCGTTAGCCAGGCACACCCGGTAGTCGTCCTCACCGAAGGCAGGGGCCTGCATGGGCATGATTAGCAGCAGTGGCAGCGGCATACAGCATACATCAGTGGCCGTAGCATGGCAGGCGGGCAGGCAGGATGGGGCCAGTAACGACAGCAGCCTGGAAGGGGGAGAAAGATGGAGGAGGAGAGAGTGAAGAGAGGACAGGCATGGGTTAGTAATAGTTTTGGGTTCAGTAGCAGAAAGGGAAGCTCAGAGGCGGGGCCAGGGCAGGGCCAGATGAGGGCGACTTCGCGCGATGTTAAGGTGGTTTGACGCGGTGACGAGCCTGGCCGCGCCTGTGCCACCTGCGAGCTGTGTATCTGCCGCCGTCGTGCCGCCTCCTGCCGGTTCCCCCCTTTTTCCCCAACGCTGGGGATGAGGAAGACGAGGCGAGGAGTGCGAACCAGGCACGACGACAGCAGCCATGCAACGAGCAATCGGCACCCGCAGGTCGCGGAGGGAAAGAGGCGAAACGCGGGAGTGCCGTGCAGCGGGCGTCGGGCAAGGAGACCCGGGTTGTAAAGTGTACCTGGTGTACGACGCCGGTACCGCTGTCGTCGGTGACGTACGTGTCGGCCACCACCCGGAACGCGCCCTTGGACGAGCCGGCAGGGGCCGCCAGCGTGGCGAAGAAGTCAAAGAGAGGTGTGTAGCGCAGCCCCACGAGGTCCTTGCCGGGCATCTTGGCCAACACCTCAAAGCCACCCTCCGGCTTGTCGTCCTGCACAGGGTAGGTGGGTAGATGAGGGAGAGGAGACGCAATCAAGATTTGTAGAATAAGAGCAGCAAGGGAAAATCTGGTATAGCCAGCTAAACCATGCAAGAACGTCATATGTTGCGAGGATATGCAAAGATGTGTTTACACTTTGTTATGCAATAGTTTCGCGAACTGCAGTAGTCCGCAAACCAAGACCCCGGTACACGCCGGATTAGCACATTCATCCTTCGTGTCTGATTTCCCTCGCTTTCATCCTTCCATCCTCTACTACTACTACTGCTACTACTGCTACTACTACTGCTGCTGTAGCACAGCCTTTACACCCAGCCAGCCGTGAGCATTGGCTTTACACCGAACCAGCACCACCGCCACCTCTACCCAAACAGCCGCAGAACTAGCACCATCGTGACCAGGGCTATGGCATAATCATATTTCACTCATTCTCACTACCATGCAATCACCATCCTGATGTTCTTCATGGTCCCCACCCTCATTGCCGCCGTACCTTCTTAGCGCCCTTTTTGGGTTTGGGTACGGCGCCGGGCAGGGCTGCCAGTCGCGCCTCTGCCACAATGAAGACCTTCTTCTTGTCGTTGTCGCGGACCTGTGAATGTTACCAGCAAAACGCTTCCAGGTGGGTCTAGAACGGGCAAACAAACAATGGCTGGAAAGACTACTCGAGCGCGCGACGTGTTCTTAAACTGCACGTGCACGTCAGGAAAGCTGTCCGCAACTGCATTAACCTTTTCAGTACATTCCCAGTATGTTGGCCATCCTAGAAGTCTGGAAAGGATGCCATTCCGGATGGAGCCTCACTCTACCCATTTCCCCCACCTTACTCTCCCTCCCAGCTTCATCCACATCCACATCCCCCCACACACATCGCTCCCTTTACCCCTTTGCAACTATCCTTCTTCGTGAACCCCTCACCTCGACCCCCGCCTTGACAAAATCCCGTCTTTGGCCCCCCTATTGACAAAACCCCACCTCGATTCCCACCTCCCAAGCCCTCACCTTGACGTAGATCAGCTCCGGGTGCACGCACAGCGCCACGTTGGAGGGAAGGGTCCAGGGAGTGGTCGTCCAGGCCACCAGAGCCGCACCATCAGGGTCGTCAATCACCGGGAAGGACACCTGCGCCACGTGCAGCATTACACAAGAGCGCGCGCATGCATGCAGTTGGTTTTTTTTTACGAAAGTGCAAAAAACTCTTCTCTCGCTTTTTAAGAAATGTTCCTCTAGGGAATTCCGTGCAAGACCTTATCATCTTCAGAAGCACCTGTCCTCGCCCGCGAATATGTATGTCATGGTAGGCTTTGGGGGAGTGGTGGGAGCAGATAGGAGAAATCCCAAACTGCTCCCCCCTATCTGCTCCCGTCCACAACAAAACACAAGAATGGGCACATAAACAAGCACAGGCGCACGCACCATGACAGCTGGGTCGCTGACGTCCTTGTAATTGAGTCCCGCCTCGAAGTTGGACAGCGGCGTGGAGCAGGCGGTAGAGAAGGGCATCACCTGAAGCAAGGGATACACAAGCAAAGCGAGACAGCATTACATAATGCAAAATGCAATGTACAGAACGAAAAAGTGGACGCATCCATGGATCAAATTATTATTGGGGGTTGGGGGTTATTTAAACAGCTACAGAACAGACACATGGATCAGCGGACTGGGCACCGGTAGGGAAGAATGTGGTTAGGAAGGTGTGAATTGCTCGAGGATTAAAAGCCCCGAGGAAAAATGCCCTCGGCAGGAGAGCTTTTCCAGAAGCGACGTTGCAGAAAATGGAAGGCATGATACGCACTGCGTTGCGCTGTCGGTTGTGCAGCTCACCTTGAACCCGCGGTACACTAGGCCCTTCTCGTATAGCTGCGAGAAGACCCACCACACGCTCTCCATGAACGAGGGGTCCAAGGTCTTGTAGTCGTTCTCAAAATCGATCCAGCGACCCAACCGCTTCACCGTCTTCTCCCATTCTTTCGAGTACCTGGAGACGCGAACACGCGGACACACGGCCAGCAAGCGAACGCGCATGCTAGTCAAGTCAAACGTGCCACTTAAAAGAATTTCGTCATGTCATTTCGCAATTCAAACATACACATCGCTTCAAGCGAGTGTCTTTGCCCTTTTTGCAGTTGACATTGGTTGTATACATGCTATATACATTGCTAAACACGTTCCCACAAACCTAAAGGTATGCACACCTGAAACAGAAAATTGACCAACGTCAACTACTGTATAGTGGCGATAGCCCAATCAGCAGGGAAACAAACAAAACCTCACAACGACCGGGGGTTGCCTCCTCCCGTCCCGCCCTACCCCAATCAGAGAGGAGTAGTGATTAGCCTATTGCGTAATCAGGTAACAATTGCGTCGTTTGCGTAACGGAAAAGGGTCGTCACCCTTTTGCAGCTCAGGCGTCTCCTAGTCCCCTGCCTCCACCCGATACCCCCATTCCGACCCATAATACCTGAACCCAAACCTTTTCTCTTTTCCCTTTCCCTTTCCTCCTTCCCTCCCAGTAGAGCATTCCTCCGCATATGTTTCCTCATCAGTAAAGTGCAAACACCTTGCTGCGGCCGCGGCACCCTACTGATACGAGGCCCCCCTCACATAGCTCGCTCAAGGCATGGCCGTGATCATATTGGGGGCCTCTCCCCTTCAGCATCATGCAGGTTTCTCTCATCCCGTCTGGGCTGCCAGGCCTTGGTCCTGCCACCGCGGATGACGCAAACCTTACATGACGTGTAAAAGTCCGTGTGCCCCGGTTCTTCCGACCCATCTGCCTTGAGTGCAACTGCTCCACCCCCCACCACCACCATACGAATGCTCATCCTCTGACCTTCCAACCATCTGGGCCGGCACATGCCTCAAACCCTATGCCTTCACCTTCCAGGCATCTGACTGGAGATTGCAAAGGGAACCCACATGGGATGGAGGGACTGGGCAAGCTAGATGGGCAGAAAGTTTGAATTTGAAACCCGTTTCGTCTCCAGCTTTACCCGGTTGGCATATTTAAGACTCCTTGCCTATCTGGGTCGAGTCCTTAACCGCCATCCAGGATACCCACCTCATGACAATGCTGCGGCACTCCTCGTTATAGGTGCCGATGCCCATCTTGAGAACATCGTCGCGAGACTTCACATCTGCGAAGAAGGCATGGCACAGGAGGTAGGTTCTTTGTAAGACCCAGGCATTCCGTACGTGACCTTGGGCGTCCTTCGTTGTAAAGGTTGCATGCCCGTTGCAGTCCCGAGGATGTGCAGAGATAGGATAGAGCAGCGGGGAGGGAATGGTTAAAAAGGAGGGCACGATGCGAGAATGAGAGAAGCCCTGCCACGCCGGCGATAGAGGCAAAAATAGCGCGATGCAAAAACGTTCATGGGGACACGGAAGCACTTAACTGAGCTTCTTGTCGATCTCGTACTCCACAGGAAGGCCGTGGCAGTCCCAGCCAAAGCGACGTGTGACGTGGTGGCCGGTTGCCGCGGCATAGCGAGTAACAATATCCTGCAGGGCGATGCCGTGGAGAAAAAAAACGTGGCGTTCAGCGTGCTGCGGAGTTTTGTCGAGCAAGTAGATTAACGCAAGGCCGCTGATGAGAAGCGTTTCGGGACCGAAAGAAAAAGCAGGTGTGCAAAGGTGCAGAACGCTGCGTTCCATGTACTGCAGAGCGCGGGTGAGAGGGGCTTGTGTCCGTATCGAGGTCGCGGGATAAGCCACCGACCCGAGAATAATGTCATACCTTGAGCGTGCCTGCCAGGATGTGTCCATAGTGTGGCAGGCCGGTCGCAAATGGCGGTCCATCATAAAAGATGTACTCAGGCTTGCCCTCCGTCCGGCGCAGCTGCTCCTTAAAAGCGTCCAGTCTATCCCATAGATCTAAGATCTTTTCCTCCTCCTTCGGAAAGGAGTAATCCTTGCCCTCGGCAACGTCTGCCACGGACATGGGTTTCTGACGGCGGCTAAAAGGTCGCGACGCGGTTGATTTTAACAGCCAAGCCTCTGATGCTATGCAGAAGTCTGAGATCCTATTCAATTAAAGCTAACGCCGGAGGGTAACCCACGGAGAACGAGCTCGCGGGGTTCCGGCGCTTTCAAAGGCTTAGCCTCCGCCCCCGTCAAGGCCGGGCACAGCTATAGCCTTATTGCAGGAAAAGATTGCAGGTTGTCGACTCATCAAAACAATAGCCGTGACCGTACCTGGGCTCCGAAACCCAAGTCCAACTCCGTCCCGAGTTGTTGCAAAGGCTGCTAATCGCCTGTGCACATCCCTTTTTGCCGGAAAACATATATATCTTACAGATAAGTACATATTAATTTTATATTGTCCGTACCGGTACTGATGGGAAAATCCTACAGGGAACAACGGCTAAGCTAAATGTAATGATAAATAAGAAGTCTTTGCGTATCACTGTTCCTGAGCGTCAGCATAAGTTAGTCGGTTGGCTGCCGAATGCAGGTTGAAATAAGACAATTCGTATGATAACCCGCCGTACTCAAGGCATTACGCAAAGGCAGGTTATGGAACTGGTGTAGCCGTCTTTCCTCATGGCGATACCACCGTCGTCGAAGCCCGATATTAAGGGACTTAAGAGCTGATGGACACAGTCAGGGGTTGCGACCGGCGGGTGGAGTCATCCCAGAACACCCTGGGCCGGCATTGGTGGGGCACGGTCTCACCGCCCCTTTTGGCTAGGCTGTCACTCTAATTTCGTTAGATTGAACCCACTTCGTGGGTGCGGGTTGTCGCCGTCGGCCTCTGTCAGCTTCCAGCCACCGGAGGGTTGGGTGGGTTGCTTCCCGCACCCAGACACTAGGCTGTCATGGCCGCCATCTGGACGACTATATCACCCACGGTACAGCGATTAAGAGATTGACTTCTCACTTGCGTGCTGCATTATTAAATGAAGCGTGTAAGCATATAAAACGTGTTGCAAAACGTGCTTGTTCAAGGTATCTCTAGACGGGATGATTACACGAGAGTGATGATCATGTGCTGAGGAAACGCACACCGGCGTCGGAAGGCGCATTCGACAATATCTGGGCCCACCGGTCCCACCGCAACGCAGCTCTATGTGGTTCTGGCCTCTCTTGCACCGTGGGGCTGGTGCCCGTCTGGCCTGCCTGCCTGCCTGCGCAAATCACTCAAATCGCTCAAAACGTATTGCGCAAGACTGTGCTGCTCATTGCCATGGAAACGTACTGATCTCCTCGTGGTATGATGCAGTTGCCATTCATTTAAACCGCCGATGGCGCCACACACTATCTCCACCACCTAATTTGTACCTAGTGCTCGCCAGTGTTGTTGTTTGGGCAATTCAGCCAGACAAGCACAACGCATCGTATTAATTTGCGTGATCTACCGCGCTTCGCATCACCAGTGCATGGTGCTAATATGTGGCTTACGTAGGTTTCTGCCCGTGTTTACCCGTGGGTGGTTCGTACTTCCATCCGTGAGAAATCTGGCGGCTCGAGGTTCGACTCGGCCGAGACACACCAGGCCTGTGGTAACTGCGTGGGCTTGCGCCCTGTTCCCCAACTTCAAGAAACAAACCTGACATCTGCCGCCTACTTGTCAGCATGCAGCTGTAGGGCGAGCAGGCAGTCACCACATGTCCTCCTATCAGCCCAGCAGCAGCACCACCACCACCATCACCACTACCATTATCACCAGGGGAGAGCCGCTGAGCAGCACTCATTCCGAGCCGGCCTTCTCGGCCCTGGCATACGACAGGATCGCCATTAACTATTTACGTGACTCTGTCTGTCGACAGACTCTGTCGACCTGCGTTTTTCACTTGCACCCGCAGGCGCCGGAGCGAATCATTCATCATGCTGCAAGCAATGACGGGCATCTGCACACGTCTTTAACTACCTATCCGAAGGGCAGGCAAATGATGTACTCACATCGCACGCCATGGATGCTCCTGCTGCGGACATGGAGGGGAGGGAGTGGTCCACGCATTATCATCCGCATCTGGCGGCTAAACATTGTCATGCATCCACGGCATCTAAGCAACCATCCTCTAAAAATGACCTAATATCCTAAGCTAATATCCGACGGCGCCACCTATACAAACGCCACCCACCCGCACCGCTGCATCCATTATTGGCGTGCATATGGCACGCACAGCTATGACGCGTATGGGTGTATGTTCTACATGGTAACGAAGATGCCACCGCGTTCAAGGGTTTCTGCATGCCAAGAGGCATTTGGTAGAGAGAAACTGTGCAACGTGCCATGGATAAAAGGCGAAGAAAACAGGAAGAAATGATGCTGGGCTGGGTAATGGTGGTCACAGCCAGTTCCATGTGTGATCTGTGTGCAGCAACAAAGCGCCATCTGGCCCCGCCAAGGAGGCCAGCACCACGGCAGGTCCTCTCAGCCCGTCGCAGCGCAGCACTATCAGGTTGTGACCGGCTCGCAGCTCCGAGACCTGGAAAACGTTGCGGCTCGGAAACGATGTTGTACGGCCGATTTCTCGGCCGTTCACTAGGACTGTGGCCAGGTCATCTGCAAAGACGGTAAGTGTGGCATTGGTGCTTGTGGCGGCCTGCCCCAACTGCCCCAACTGCCGCTGCAACTGGTCGGCCGTCAGCTGAAAGCTCCTGTAAAAGGTGGTGGACTGCCAGGTGGATGCCATGAGCTGGTTCATGATTGGCACGAAGGCAGTGGGTTGGGATGAGATCCACACAACCTCAGGGTCAGGCGGGATAGCGCCGATCGTCAGCCGCGGGTGATACACATACGTGCTCACGCCTGCAACACCAGCGCGCGACCACAGCAGGTAGGGTGTCAGCTTCCTTGAAGTTAGGGGTGCAGCCCTGCGTCCCCCACCCCCCGCTGTCACTACTTTCCGGTCAGTCGTTGCCTGGCATGCTTTTTCGGCTCGCAGGGGCTCGTTATAACCTAAAACCGCAGTACAACTCTACGCGTAGTATACACACATACACACGTACAAGCCTGTGTGTAGTCTGGGCTTGGCTTGCTTGTCCTTAGTGTGAGCGACTTAAGTAACCTGGATTACGTAGTCATGCCCACGGAAGTAGGCGCCCGCCCAGCGAGTAAGCTAAAATCTAACTTGCCAATCAGCATAACTCGAGACGACGCGCTAGCACCGAGGGATACATTAAAGGTATATGCACCGTACATACGGCGTGGCATGAACCGAGACAGCACCAACACTACTTGCGCTTGTCGAGCTGCGTCGACCCTTGAAGAAAGCTAGTTACAAGTTACAAGTTCCGCACACAAGTGCGGGTGTGTCCGTAAAAGCCGGGGGGCCCATGGACGTTGTATTGGTATTGATGCGGGTACGCGGGAGGTCATCTTCATTCTCCCTCGTCCGCTTCAGGGTGAAGCGCCTCAGCGCGACGTGCCTGGCCTCCCAAATTTCCGAGAGGTACCTGGCCAATACTAGTGATGATGTGCATTTGGAAAGGGGTTTTGGCCACTTATAAGAGGTAACTAAACTGCTCACCCGCAATGGCTGATTAGGAATGGTAGTAACGGCTGAAGCTGCTGCATGTACATCAAAATAACGGCTGAAACTGCATATCCAAATCATGACGAGGAAGATGCGCGTGGCGCACATATGCGCCTCTCTGGGCAACGCAACCGAGGTGTAATACACACACATACATACATGCGTACAGCCGCTAGCTGACTGGCGTGCGGCACTCACACCCTAGTGTTTCATTATTTTACGTACCATTGCGCGAGCCCACTACCCGGCCCTTGTCTGGCTGTATCTCCAATCCTGAGCAATCCGGCCAAAGGCGGCACGTACGGCTTCTGTGTGTGTAGTCCCAGCGGACACAGTCGGGCCGGGAGAAACAGGCCTGGCAGCAAGAGCCCTCATCAGGCTGGATGCTGGTGGACAGGGTAGTCGTGCCATTTCCGTACCCGGCGCCGTACTGAAGCAGCGGGCAATCTGAGGAAACCGCCAACCATGCATGTGTCGTAAAACGAAGGTGCCGTCGTTAAGTTAAAAGGTTGGAGAGCTTTCAAAATGCCCTGTTGAGTCCTGATAAGTTTGCGCGCCGAAATGTGGTTTTGACTCCATGGGGTGTCTAAAGCGAGTGAAATGATATTTTGTTTCGACCAAATTGAACGACTTTTGTTAAGAATGGACAACAAATGACTTCCCCGAATTGCAGGGCGCCCTACAGGTTCCCTAATATGATGCTTGTGAACCCACGCGGCTCTGATAATGCTGTACATAAGTACATGCACGTTCGTACCTGCTGTCAGCGCCGTACCGGTTGCATGTAATTCGAGGCCCCTGCTGCTAGCCCCCCCCCGCAACAGCAGGGCACTCGCCGGACTCGAGCCCAAGTCTGTCGTACGCACCAATCCCGCTAATTCACCATACGCCTGCACTTCCGCCATCTGCAGCAAACTAGGCACGGTGGCATTATTAATTCCAAAGCTCTGCAGGGTGATGTAACGGCCCGTGACTGGCGGATACAGCTCAATGTTTAGGACGGAACCCGAGGTGCTGGGCCCCATCACCCTGTACACCAGCTGGTTTAGCGGGATCTGGGCCGAGGTGAGGAAGTTGCTCACCAGCGCGCCGCCCACACGGATCTCGGCATTTGCCAGCAGCTCTTTGCAACAGTCCTGTCGGCTGTACAAAACGATTCGGTTGACGTTGTAGAGGCCCGCCAGGTCGATGGACAGCCAGGGGCTGGGGTCGCCGCTGCCACTGCGGAAGATATTCAGCCCGGTGTCGCTAATGATGCCGTCAGTGGCAAATTGCGGGCCATTAGATTTGATGTCCTTGTCAGCAGTCGATGAAGCAAAGGTCATCTTGCCCAGCGCGATGTTCATTTCAGGCGGCCGTGGTGAGGGAAGGGGCGCCGGAGAAGGCGGCGCTGGTGGCGGCGGTGGCGGCGGCGGCGGTGGTGGTGGTGGTGGTGGTGGTGGTGGCGGCGGTGGCGGTGATGACGGTGAAACCAGGTTAGGAGGCAGCGGCGACAGCGGCGGTGGAGGCGGCGGTGGGGGCGGAGGCGGCGAACTAGAAGGTGGCAGCAGCAGTGATGGTTCCGGCGGAGTAGGAGGCGGTGGAGGTGGTGGCGGTGGTGGAGGCGGCGGTGGAGGCGGTGATTGGCCTGGAGGATTGGGAAGCATTATATGTAAGGGGGCGGTTGGGCGGGGTTGCGGTGGTAAGGGGCTGGGTGGCTGGGGTGATGGTGTTACGGGGCTGGGTGGATGGGGTGATGGCGTTACGGGGCTGGGTGGATGGGGTGATGGCGTTACGGGGCTGGGTGGGTGGGGTGATGGCGTTACGGGGCTGGGTGGATGGGGTGATGGCGTTACGGGGCTGGGTGGATGGGGTGATGGTGTTACGGGGCTGGGTGGATGGGGTGATGGCGTTACGGGGCTGGGTGGATGGGGTGATGGCGTTACGGGGCTGGGTGGATGGGGTGATGGCGTTACGGGGCTGGGTGGATGGGGTGATGGCGTTACGGGGCTGGATGGATGGGGTGATTGCGTTACGGGGCTGGGTGGATAGGGTGATGGCGTTACGGGGCTGGGTGGATGGGGTGATGGTGTTACGGGGCTGGGTGGATGGGGTGATGGTGTTACGGGGCTGGGTGGATGGGGTGATGGCGTTAC